AAGCAGCCCACTCGTAGAATGCAGCCTTCTTGGGGTCCATGTGCTGGTTGCCTTGCCAGGCCTCAGGAACCATGAGCATAACAGCTTCGGGAAGAGAGAGAACACCGTTAATTGTAAGAAGCTCGAGAACGTTATCGAAAGCAGCAGAATCGGAACCACCATCCTCGACAACGGGGTACATCTGCTCGAGCTCCTCCTTGAAGATATCAGACTGCATGACACCCTCACGGGCGCGCATCCAGTTCTTGTTTCCTCGTAGTGTGTTGATTTCGCCGTTGTGGGCAGCCCATCGGAGAGGCTGAGCACGGTCCCAGGAGGGGAAAGTGTTTGTAGAGAAACGAGAGTGCACCAGAGCAAAGTGGGCCTCGTAATCAGCGTTGACAAGATCGTGGTAGTAAGAGTAAACCTGGACGGGAGCGAGCTGACCCTTGTAAACGATGTTCTTGTTTGAAAGGGAGCAGAGATAGAACCAGTTGTGAAGACCAATGCTCTGAGTGGCACGCTTTCGAAGGATGTACAGCTGTCTCTCAAACAGGCGTTCGTCAAACTTCTCAGGGTCGGTTATCTCGGGAGCATTTCCAGTACCGTAAGCAGAGGCCAGGACAACAAAAGGTTGAGCGATGATAGGCTCGCGCGATTTGGCAGCAGGTCCTAGAAGAGTCGAGTCGACGGGAGGCCTTCGCCATCCCAGGACTCGGAGGCCCAGCGACTCGGCAACATCTTCCAGCTGCCTCTTGGACTCTTGAAGAGTCTCCTCGTCGGGCTTAAAAAACAGGTTTCCCACGGCGTACTGGCCCAGGGGAGGCAGCTTAATGTCCTCCTCCTTCTCAAAGTTCTTGATGAAGAACCGGTGGGGGATGGATGTCATGACACCAGCACCATCACCATCTCGTGCATCAGATCCCACGGCACCACGGTGAGTCATGTTGCAGAGAAGGTTACGGGCATCACTGACAATCTTGTGGCTAGGCTTGCCCTTGATGTGGCTAAGAACATGTTAGTGAGGTTATGATGATCATCTGAGTAGTAACTGACCAAGCAAAGCCGACACCGCAAGCATCCTTCTCATAAGAAGGGTCATAGAGACCCTGCTTCACCGGCAAGGCACCAGCCCACGAGTCATTGTTCTCAGTCTGATACTCATATGGTATGTATGGTTGTTGCTCGGCTTCGGTTTGAATCTGTCGGTCGTCGAAGTCCTCGTTTAGGCCCATGCTAGGCAAGGATTCGATCGAACTTGGGTGGGGTTGTGGGGGAGTTCGGTGGGGGATGTAGGATCGCGGGGCGCGTTGGTAAGAGCAGCTGTAGCCACTCTAATGGAGATCTAGCATTAAATCAATTAGCACGGGTAAAAGGAAGATACGGCAATTAAACGCGCTGCCTGTAATAGGCCACAGGACCAGTTCCGGTGAGCTCAAACAGGTTCCGAAAGGTTGGCCGAGGCAGTCCAGGGTTTGCTGTTCATTGAGGGGTCGCTAATAAAAAAAAAAAGCTGGTGGCTCCGGCATCGGGTAGAGATAAGGAATTCTGTCGATAACTCAAAGTCACCAGAGAATATGCCCCGCCAAATTGCGCCCGCAGCTCTCACTACAGCCTCTGTTTCTGGCTGAGTGGTTTTGCGTAGCACCCTCGAGAAAACAGCGTAATGACAATGCTGAAGTGTCCATTTCATAGCATCCACTTCCAAGACAATGCAGGCTCTCGACCAAGCTTCTGAGCTGTCTTATTCGGGCCATCGACCCACCAAATTATCGGCGGTCTGCCGGGCGGGGCCCTTGTCCTGGCTGCATTGAAGTGGGATGTTTTAGACCAACAGGGCCAATGATGGACTGTGCAATGCTAACAACCTAACCATGCAGCCATGCGGCTAAGACAAGGGGGGGCCGAAGAGGCGCCTGGGGATGGACGTCACTGCAGCGATGCCACCAACTGTTGGAAATGGAAACAGATGCCACCAATGCCAGAGGAGCGCAATCGGAGAGGCCTGTTAAGCTAGTCCGCTGGAAATGTTGCCTTCACTTGTCGTCTGAGACATGTGATTTCGGTATGTCGCCAGTTTAGGTCGCAAGAATGAGCAGCGATGGCCCGAATGTCGTTTATCCAGATAGTTCTGTGTCGAGGAGCTGCACCCGGTGTCGTAAGAGATGCAGAAGTGAATCCAGTTCGGCTCCAGGCAGCAAATCGTTGCTTTCGATAGGGAGTGCTCATCACAAACTTACCAAGTGGTGGTCCTCTTCACCAAAGAGGTTATTCGTAAAACGAAAGGGTATCAAAAGGCGACTGGCTTGCAGTGCAGTAGCAGGCAGGATGGGCACGTTAGATTCTAAGGAGAGGCGAACGCGAGAGGACAGAGCAGTGGCAGTAGGGGGAAGATCAAGAGGAGAGAAAATGTTGGGGGGGGAGGGCAACAGCTCTGCTTTTATAAATGGGCGGGAGATGAGAGGGAGTGAGAGTGAGAGGAAGTGGAGGGCACGGGAGAAAGGGAATTGATGTCCGAAGCCGTCCAGCAAAAGAAGGCCAGTCCAATAGCAGCTCGAGTAACTATAGCAGTAAAGGCGACAGCTCAATGGTTCACTGCCTCTTTTTCTTGAGTCAATCCAACTGGGTCCAGCTTCGGAGCAGCTCAGAAAAAAATGCCCCACGAAAGGGAAAATGGACAAGCGAACACCAAAAAAAAAAATCCAATGGAGCGGCTACGGCGTGCGTGGAGGGGAGGAACCCGCCAGGGAGAGGGGTGTATATGAGGGGGAAAGCTAGTTCGGTAGGGGCGTGCATCTTGAATAGGGCTTGAAGAGAGCCTATGGTCGAGGTCGAGAATGCGGCGTCAGAGCGAGATACCGGGGTTGTGCATAGCGCAGTGGGGGGACCGATGATGTTGATGATGTTGATGGCTTGAAGAGCACCCTCTGTAGACACAAAAGTTAAGTTTGATGGACGTCAAGAAATGGTATTTCACATGAAAGTTGACTTTCTATAATTCCTCTTTGTGTACTGCTTAGCTCTGCTTTTCCCCAACCTCATCCTTATCACAATTCTAAAAGGATAACAGTCCTTACAAGCCGTCATTCACTTATAATCTTTTGAGAGTCTGTCTTCGGCGTGCTGGCTCCGAACTCGAGGTGGGCGCACGGCATGGACCCTACCGTGGTCCCATTTCCCTGCCGTTTCCATGCAGTAGAGTAGACGGGAATTGGGGGAGAGGAGGAGGAGGAAAACGCACATGCCAGGAAACAGCCGCAAGCAACTGAGGTTACAGGCATTTGTACGACGCTCCCATCATTGACATGCCACTGTTCGAGCAACATCACCTTTCAAATGTATCAGCATTAGGAAGCTCAGGACTTTTCGTCTCATCTCTTACTCTCGGCATCTCTTCCGCTGACATGCTGGTTACACAAATTGTAAGGGTTGCTAAAGCCTAGGGATGGCCAATTGTTCAAGCATCGTGTTATTCTCCAAACTTACCATGTTGTACATGTCGTTCCATACTCCGCGATTCGTTCAACACCTTGACTCCTTGTATCAAATCCCAGCTATCCATACCATTATCCCTTGTTTTTCTATCCTTTTTATTCAGAATCATCTTACGGACTTCCCGTTCTCACGCTTCGGAAATTCCTCCGAACTCAGTTTTGAAGCCCTCGACTTAAGCCTTGAGGTGCGCCCGTCCGCTGTGTTCCGCTCACCCTCCTCCGTAGATCGGCCTGCATCCTCGGCAGATTCCTCTTTGGAGGCGAAAGCAAACGCACATCTTTTTGAATATCAATGTACTAGGAGATGCACAACGCAGCAAATTAGACGAGTCAGAATGGGAAATGTGTTGTTGCAGCCCTCTATTTCTGATCTACAGACTTGGAGGGTTGAGATCTGCCAACAACTACGTCTTCGAAAAAAGGATACACGTCGCTCAATCGAATAGTGGCAAGATGTATTTGTTTCGATACAGGCGGTATCCTGATTAATTAACAGGGTACTCCGTAATTCCCCATGGATCCCCTCATAATAGTATTTACTCCCCGCGTTGTGAATCAACCCACTCCGTGATCGTTGCCTGACTTTTTGAACCTCCTCCATTGACCTGACCTGACAACTAGGTGCGTTCCATCTGCAACCCCGTAAGATTGTAGTTTAGCGGTCAGTAGCTCGGTCAGCCTCCTACAGCCAGTCAATTTGTTTCTAGTACAAATATCACACTTCATGAATGGCCTCATTTGCTGTTGTTTCTCTCCGACGTCCCCGCCCTGGACCATAGCCGCAATACCCTCCGCCGCTCCTGTTTTCCGTTGAAATCGCTCCTCTCCGCTATGCTCCGCTCTCCGCATTCATGGAGCCTAATCTGATCTGTTTAACCGACGCGGAGAGGACATGTTCTCGTTATTACGTCCAATCAAGCATAGGCTAATAGGCAGCTACAGCTACCTATTATCGCATATCTATCCGCCAAGCTGTCAATCTGTGAATAGCTTTGCAACATGGTTTCGTGTAAGAGAAATACGGCCGAGGGATGGACTGCTTTGCCGCTAACGACGAGCCAACCACTTACGACCGCACTCTGACTCCCGACCAGCGCCTCGAGTTCATGGATTAGGGTGTCTAGGGCGCCAGGGTCTGAGTGGATGGCGCCGAATGGCTGGAAGATGCTGCTAATCCGTGCGACGCCGGCTGGAACGTTAAACCTTCCTCTGCAGGGATCAGCTCAACCTCTCAACTTGCGACGCCAATCATGGCTTGCCATTTTCAAAGCCCAGCTAGTCCGATGTCGCGCCCACGTTGTCTCGTCTCTGGAAGCAGTTACTGAGGAGCCATGAGCCATGAGCATCAGCGTGCTTGTGAACCTGGGGCGGGACCTTTGACGTACAGATGCTGCGCGGGGGAGCTTGAGATGGGCCTGATTCGTCTATCAACCCCCATCCTGCACTACCTACACTGCACTTCAGTCCGAGTAGCTGGATGCTGGTGTTGCATCTGGATTCTCTGTGCGAGATTTGAGATGTGATTCCGTCCGTGTGCCACTACCTTCACCAGTGTCCCTACGTACATGCAAACGCCAGATTATTGCTACGTTATACTCATTTGTTGTAATTTGGTGTGGTACGTGAAGTGACTAGTATCTAGGCTCTAGTCTGGCTATGATCTTCACCTTGTCTTGCTTGTCTCTGCCTGTCGGTATGCCACGTCGACGCAAGCACTACAACGTTCGAAATAATTAAAGTCGTTTCCCTGTCCTGTTATTTGCCTCATTTACGGTCATTGCCGCTATGGGATATCCCTCTTGGACTCGCGTGAGAAGCAGGCCACACTGCATAGTGGAGTTGAATTTTGAAATTATGCCCTGGGATCTCGGGATGTTTCTGAGAGTCGCCGAGCGCATCTGAGAGCCAGCCGAGGACATGGACCCCCAACCTGTGCGTTTTGGTTCTCGGAGTCAGAGTCAGCGCCTTGGATCGTTGATGGGAGGCACTGACACGTGTGATGTTCATCGCCGTCACCTCATTATCTCACAGATTCACAGTCAAAAGATGGACAACATAAAATTGGGAGAGACGACCAATCAGAGTCTCCAAAGCCGAGTCGTTTCTTATCTCGAGCCAACCACCGTTTACTATCTCTCCAGGTGCACTAAAACGGAACAAGCTCGTGCCGTACACCCACACACACACGGCAGCCAAAGCGTGCCAAGGGTAGAAGATCGTCTAGCGCCGTCTTTAGTCGACGCCATCGCGCAGATGCACCTGTCTCACCATGCTTCGGGAGTCCCTGCGGGGACCCTGCCTGCGAGGTTAGGTTCTCTGAAGTGTTGCAGTTGCAGTGGGCTTGCATGAAAGACGTCACTGAGATGGGCAATTCGAACCGGTACAACACTGAGAGGCCAATGGTTGCAAGGGCTGTAAAAACATGTGGTCTGGGGAAAGACGGGCAACATCTGAGCAGTTTTGTACGGATCTCAAGTTACTGCTCCCCGATGCATGATGAGTACGGTCATTGTCCTCCGTTAGACATGACAGCATATGTCTTTCACGAACACGTACGCACTTGACTCGTCTCGGCCGCATTACAGTCAAGACTCAAGAGGATCCAGTCCAATGCTACCAGATCTCGTTCGCGTTGGCCGTATTTCCTAGCGCGGGGAGCCACAATTGCTTATCTCTCGGCGTTGATACCGCATATAAAATATACTAAAACGGCGGCGGGCGAATGGATCCCGAAAGGAGCTCAAATCAAGAGTTGAGAGATTATAAATAAAAGCGAGTTGCTGGCTGGTTTGCCTTGAGCGGAGACTGCTTGTGGACCACAGCGAGTTCGGCGGTGCTAAACGGCATCTCATGTAACTTGTGCTGCTCTTATTGCTGCTGTTGCTGTAGTCTGCGCTGTTAGGCTGGGCTGTCTGCAGTAAGTGCAGTGCATCTCCATTACGGCCTTGCGGAGCCGTCAATCCGTAGACGTTGCCTCATTCAGCCTATGGACCAGAGATGCCCAGAGTCCAACTTCCCGATCCCCGAAGACCCAGAGCAAAAACAAAAATCATCATTCAATTCGAGGCCGACGGAGAGAGGCCGACGGTCTTTGCGGTCAAATTCCGGAGTTGCTATGGATGCTTTGCTGTGCTCACTGCTTGCTAGGGATAAGGAGCCTCCCACTCCTGATTCCGACTTCTTCCGATGTCCAACTCGAGTTTCGCTACAGGTAATTTACGAGCTACTTTACCTACAAAGGTATGGAACGAATTCTTTGCATGAAGCAAGGGTCTAGCGCTGTACGGTACAGGGCCGTAATGCAAGCGACGTTGCAGGAGTTTGTCGAGATACCATCCATCCAATGCTGAAGCAGAACAAGGCACAGCACACGGCAATCGATAATTTGGTTACCAAACAAAATGAATAAACCACCGACTCTCCCTGCAACCTCATCGTTGATCGTATCAGAAAGTCTCCGAAAGGAAATCATAAGCTTGGCTCCAGGCGGTGAGTTCAGTTCAATTTCAGATCGACAGAATTGCAGTCGCTCTTTGGGGGTTTCATTTCCCAGATCAGAGACATGAGTCTAGAACAAGCAAGGTGTTGCCCTCTGCTGTAAACCGCTCATGTCAAGCCGACCCAGCCGCTGAAAAATATTCAGCCGTGTAGTGTTTGGTCGACCGGAGATGCTTACAGCCAGCCAAACTCAAGTCTCATAATTCACATATCACTTTTTGATCAAGAACCCTGTCAAATCCTTCAACTCATTAACATTTTATGAAGCTTGTGATGTTGCATTGTTTCGACAACGGGTTCCCACCAATGGCGGCTATTAGGCGCTTCAGCGCGTTTATGGCGGGAAGTGCCCCGCCACTTCGTAAGAGGAAACTTAAGGTTGTCCTGGAAATGTGAAGTCAATACAACATCGATAGCTACACCTAACAGCTTGACGCGACCGCGTCTTGACCCGGCTGTCATGTTCACCACACTCCCAGACTTTACACCGCGAGACGTAAGGCTATTACGGATGTAATTAACTACAAATGCTAACAAACTTAGTCGCATTCTTTGTGGTATAGATCTTCTCGCAGTCCTTACACCCCACCTGGACCTCTCGACGACTTTAGCGGTGATACACATAACATTCAACATGGCGCAAACCAAGCTCGACAACGAACGAAGCTCATTGAGCGATCAGCTCTCGCTCGGCTGGCTGCGGATGAACAGTACATGCAGAGAAGACGACTGAACGTTCAGAATTATGGCAGCGGCTGGCTGAAACCCCCAGGTGTTCCTAAGACATTGCACCAGATGCGTGAGGAGAAGCGGGAGCAAGAGGAGCACCAAGAAGCAATGCGCCGAGAACAAGTAGCTCAAGAACTAGCTGAAGCTGAAGCAGAGGGTATGCCTGGCGAGGGTACAATGGATGACGTTCAGCTTGACGGAGCTCAGGATCTAGATGATGAGATTCCTGATGCTGATGAAGAAGGCTATGCTTTTGGCGACGACGATGACGAGGATGAGGACGATGACGAAGAGGACGACGAGGAAGAGGATGAAGAAGATGGTGAGGAGACAGATGATGAAGCCCTGAGAGCAGAGCGCCAGAACGATCTCATGCAAGCACGTATGAGGATGGGCGACGACGCTTTTCGCGAGGCCCTCGTCCGCGGTGAGCCGGATGCTAATGACATGTACGGCAACACCGAAGGACTCGAAGAAGAAGAGGATAACGGCCATCTTCTGGACGAGGAAGACTTCGCTCAAGACGATGACCTTGGCATGGACATGGACGCCGATCTTGACGAAGATATCCCCGAGGCTGAGAGCGGCGGCTACGAGCACACCGACTCTGAAGCCGAAATCTCCAGTAGTGAACAAGAGTCATCCAACGACGACGAGGATGATGATGAAGACGATGTCGACGTTAGTTTCGCACCTCGCTCTGCAACCCTCCCTCGTCCTATGTCGCCTACCTTCCAGGGCCGTTCCAGCATGGCACATCCACGCGCCAGCATGGATCTAAGTAACCTCCTCTCGCAAGACGGCAGCAGCTTTATGCAGAGCAGTCCCGCTGGACGACGAGCCCGTCACGGCTAGCACTTTACGACTAATGCGACACGACCAACAGATAGACAAGTTCAGGCAGCAGTGTTATATACCCATTCATTGTTCATTATCAAAGCAGAATTGAAATTGAGCGCTTCCCGTCTTTCGATATCTAAGTGAAAGATGGGTTGCTAGCCACAGGCTTGCCCAGAAGTGTGATTACAACCTTTGTAGAGGGCAACTTGATCGTTGCGTGATGTGATGCTTCTCCCGTGTCTGCCAAGATCACCGACTATCATGCATTATTGTGAATTGCAAAACGCCCATCCAAACGCCATTCCAAAATGCACATCGTACAGCTCTTTTTCTTTTTCTCAGTCAATCAATGTCTCTCCATGCTCTTAAGTCGATGAGTCGAGTCGTGTCGTGTGAAGACCTCGAGATCAAAATAGCCAAACGTAGATGAAAAGCATGATCACGGCGGCAAAGAAGATAAGCCAGACCTTCCAGCCAACACCAGTTCGCTGAGCCATGACAAGCATGCGGTTCATAGTACCACGAAGTCGCAGGCGTGTCGAGTCGAAACTATCGTTCATCTTCTCCGCCAGCGCCGAGGACTCACGGATCTCGTCTCCAATCGCAACCGTCATCTATCACCCAACTGTCAGCTCCTCCACCAGCAAGAACCCTTGGAAAGGAGTAAAACTCACGTCCTTCAACACCTTGACCTTGCCAAGAATACCCTCCACCTGCGCATCGTTCTGGCTCTCAAGCTCATTGAGCACCGCATCGCTATACTGGCCCCTTTTATTCGGCGTCGCAGAGCGGAATGAACCAGGTCTCGATGCATCGAAACCTCCCTGTCCAAGGGGGGAAGGCGAGGGGGCTCCGTATCCGCCGTAGCCGTATCCTCGGTTTGGGCTTGCGCTGACGGGTCTTCGAGATGCTGCGTCGCCGGTGTAGCCCTCGAAGAGAGCGCTGCGAGAGTCGCGCTGATGGAGCGATGATGCACCGAATCTATGATGCGCTGTCAATTTTTGGTCTCGAATCGATTGTTGGGGTTCTGATGATGCGGTTTGCCACCATCTGCTAAGGAGTGTCGTACCGTTGCGCCATGACTATTCTGTCGAGACCAGATAGCCGGGGAGACAAAACCGAGAAGGGGTCTGTGTATAAAGGAGATGAAGATTTAAAAAATTATCGAGGGGTTCGCGAATCTTGGGTCCTCCCCCCTACGATACCCTGGTTGTTTTTCTTAGGTGTTCTCTTAGCTGATGACAGCGGTCTGGCTCATTGGATTGGGGAGGACGGAGGATACGTACCGAGGGGCTGTCCAATCCCGTGTCATGGTCTGGAGCTCGATGTTGAATTTCGACTTGAGGACAAGTTACGATTAAATTGATTTGTTGTTGAGATAGGCACTTAATTACGTATACAATGACGAGTATGATGATTTCACATTGGATGGTAGGCACAAGTGAGTCAAACACGGCACATGAGCTTAGAGCAGGCAGAGCTTCAGCACAGCTATAATTCCTCAAATAAGCGCGTGACAAGCATCACAATATCGATCTTGCATTCAGTTTTTGACTGCATTAATGTCATTTCGTATTGCTCTTAGATGCATGCAACTGTACGCGTACAGTACATATGCAAAGCAGTTGAATGCTAAAGATGGCTGATGCTATCCACGACTCTGTGCCGCCTAGATCCCCAAGCCCAGAGACTGGGTAAACAGGTATAATCATCCACGCCCGCGCCCTTTTATTTTTGCTCAGTTCCAAAATTCATAACATCGTACTGTCCCCTCAGTAAAACATCCGTCAGATGAGGTCATAACGTGCATTTAGTCAGACATCTTGGTGTCCTCGTTGGGGGGCTGGAAGTCCTCATCGTCTTCCTCATCCTCGTCGTCGGCAGGGTGTTGCTCGGCGGCCTTGGCGAAGTCAATTTGGGCACCTCGAGTACGGCGGCCCTCGACAATGTTGCTGGGGTCAATCTCCTCCAAGCCATCTTCCTCATCTGCGCGCGTGGGTTAGCTTGATTCACGGTCTAAGTGCTGCAGGTGCGTGTAATTACCAGCTTCGGGGACCTAATAAAAACAATGTTAGCAATTGCCGAGAAGCAAGTATCGGAGGGTGGAAGCACATACCTCCTCATCATCATCATCGCTATCATCCTCGTCATCCTCATCCATAGCAGTGTCCTCAGTCATCTGCTCAGCAGGAGCCTTTCCCTTTCCCTTCTCCTCGGCAAAGGTAGCGCCCTGGGCCTGGGAAGGATCCTGGGGAAGAGTAGCGTTGTTGTCGGCCATCGTTGCGGTGGTATTGCTTTTATGAAAAATCAAGGAGTGAAAAGTGCGATGTTGTTTGGCAGCGGTGTGAATGCAAAAAGAGGTGAACGAAGTGGATGTATGCAAAGGTTGAAATGCGGCGCGAGATGCGGGTGCTGAGCTGCAAGTGCGACCCAGATCTTGTTCCCTTAATATCCATGGCAACCAGTGGAGGATGAGCTGATGGATCTAGCCCGATATAGAATAGTAGCTCTAATTATGCCAAGTCTCTCACGTGATCTGCTGGGGAACATATCAATTATCAATACTGGCTTCAAAGTTGATGGGCAAGGGGAGGCAAGAAAACTTAGGACCCCTTTTCTATATGATGAAAAGACTTAGGTAAGTTTAGTATATCTTAGTAAGCCTTTAGATCAGTTTATTATAGCATCCTAATTTATATTAGAAGTTTTCTGACTCCTTGATAGATGAGAGTGTCCTTAAGAGCTCGCTCCCATGCCTCTATAACACGAGGCTGGATGTACATCTTCTAAGTGCTCTGCCATATCATAGACGCGTCTCTCTTGCGGTAGAAGAAGCCTGCTGCGATGCCTTTTTGTCCATTCTATAATGCAAACGACTGCAGCTTCGGCATACCAAGGGCAACCTCGCTAGCCGTGCATAGAAGTTCACTGATCTTATCGTTGCTCGAATAGGGAGCAAGCAAGGCGGAAGTCAGACTTATCGATTCTAAGTGCTGCCATGCACAGCCTTTCTGGTAGGCCTTGAAGAAGTCCCAGGCATCGATCATGTATGGGACATGAAGCCGTGTAAGTCCGAAACTTCCGCGTGCGAGTGCTGCGGCAACTCCAGGATCTGCCATGAGACAAATATGATCGGGGGGGTATGGCCGGCCAGCACCATAGGCAAATGCGACGTTGCAGTCTTCGAAAATAAGTAAGTCCTTGAGCTTCGGTGGTAATCCAGTACCGAAAGAAGATACAAACTCTATTAGACGCCAGCTAAATGGCGATAATACAGCTGCAGCACCTTCGCCGTAAGTTTCGTAGCCTTTTGTCCTTGGCCAACTCTGCTTACCATGAGGTAGGGGATGGCAGTTCCCCCAATGAAGGCGTGATGATTCCCATACGAAACTCCTAAGTTGAGGAAACTTCGCCAGCAATGCCTTCAGTGTCCAGGGGCGAAATTGACGGCGGGATTGACGGCGCAGGATGAACTTCTTGACCGCAGGCACCTCCGGGACTACCAGTTGCCGGACTGTCGTGTTCAACATTGCAAACAATCTTCCTAAGGTAGATATCCCCAGTACTCTGGTTCTTCAGGGCTGAGGTTGCTACGCAACTTCGATAGCCCTCGTAGCATAAACGAGTTGGCATAATCGATTTCTGGGTTTTCATTTCCACCAAAGTGAGGTGCGAATACCAAATAATGTGAGTCGCTTGGAGGCTGAATAGTGAATTCCAAGGTCAAAGAATACTCCTCGTTGAAGCCGCTCAAGATGGGGAAGAGCTTTGAAATGGTGTCCCTGACAGCTGTGTGGTTTATCTTCTTGGTTTCATAACGCTCGTCTTCCAAGCCAAGCTGCTATCCATACGCCGGAAGCTCAATGTGTTGCCAGACATGCTGAATTAGTTCTCTGTGACGTCCACGCATGAGGAATTCGAACTTTTGGAAGGACTTTGAGTTTGACGTAACTCTTTTCCAATACGTTTTGTACATGAATAGCTCATCTTTGCACAAAGGGGTGTTTGGGAGAGTAGCACCTTGGTCTTTCTTACCTGACAATTTTACAATGCTATCATGAAATGAGCACTGCTTGTAAAGGAATGAGGAGACCCATAGGTATGGTTGGGCTTGACACTTTTTACACAGAAAACGAACCCTGTTTCTGGGTCATCCTCAACCTCATGGCCAAGATGATCACTTTCCTCTAGGCACAGACACACGCGCAACTCACAGACCCAAATACCTGAGTCGCCAATAATATAAGTCACGATGGTTTAAGGAATACGATTGGCATAAAATGGTTGATTAGAGTCGTTAGTTTGCACATGTAAGTCTATTTCTCGTTTCCACCAGCCATCGACATGACAACCACGATAGCAATAAGCCACCAATACCTATTCAAATGTTAGCATTTTACTCTCTCATTTCGATTCAACAATACTCACTTTTGCAAAAGAGACTTGGGCTCCTCCTCAGCTGCCTTTCTACCATTTGGTGACAGCACAACCGGCTTGTTCAACTCAGGCTGAGCCCCCTTCTTCTCCGCGATAACAACAGCCTTGGGTCCAAAATCTCTTGTCTGGCCAGCATCGACTCTCACCCCCTTAAGCGCCACACTGCGCACATCGCCGCTCTCATCTACAGAGAGTAATATCGTAGGCGCGTAACCGCGGTCAAAGTTCTCCGTTGAGGCAGCAGTTGTACCGGCAATCCAGCGCGAAGACTTGGGGTCGTAGATGCCAACGCGGACGAGGGATGCGGTCTCGGGCAGCTCAGGGGCCTCGTAGGAGACGATCTCGGTGGAGACGAGTGAGGCGGCGTCGTAGGCGACTTCAGCTAAGATTTGAGGTTTCGAGGGTGAGGATAGGATAGGTTGGACATAAACTTGAGCAGTGCGCTGCTCAGCTGCAACGAGCACAGTGGCGCAGATGGTTGATAGGAAGGTTGTGATCCTCATTGCGAGCAGTGGGCTATGATTCAACTTTGATTGGTGATGTAGTTGATGGATGGTGAGTATGGCAGCTCTGGAGCTTGGAAACGACACATGGGTACCTAGCTTCAGTATGAGGCGGTAGATTGTCGGCTAATTGATTTTCAATAAACAACGGGCATCTACAATAAGGTAATCGATATATGGTAAAACAGGCAAAGTTCTGATCGGTTCGATCAGGAAGCTTTTAATCATGAAATACAGATTGCAGTGAATGCTCACAGTTGAGTCTAAACGCTCTCATACAAAAAGTTTAACATAATACAACCCTTGCATTCCCTTCCCATCCGTGTACCGTTTCAATATAATCGGAATAAAACCGCCCTTATCCCCAACGCCTGTAAATGCAGTGCTATGCAGAATCAACTCTTTTCCTCTCGTCATGGCTCCGTTAATGGCAAGTTTCCTGGCCGCGCAGCCAGCTTGGTAGGGTAGTCCTAGAAATGGGAGGGATTGCTGGCCTCAATGCCAAACAAAGAACCAATTGGTGTCAAGTCTAATTGTCCAAAGGCTCATTCTCTCCATCTTCGGCGTCATCATCCTCATCTTCGTCTTCGTCGTCTGAACCATCCGATTCTAAAACATAGCCAGGGGTTCGTTCCACTAGACCCTTGTAATATGCCACGAGGACTTCAGGGTTTGGAACAATTTTCCAATCGACTCGGTAGAGAAATTCCAACTCTAGTAATTTGAGTTCTGCTACCCGAACGCCACCGACCCTAGCATAAGTGGTGTTGTTCCAGAAAGAGTCTGATAGCCCTTTGGCAGCGACTGTAGCTGCAGTGATTAAAAATCGATGCACAGTCAACGTATTGATGGTGAATTCTTGGTACATGGCGCATAGCCGATCAATATAGTAAACCATGGCCAAGAGAAGCGGCGGTGTTAGGGTCGCATGTCTAGCCAAACGGTGGAGGTAATCTCGAACCGAGATTCCAGGTGCGGTTCTGTATCATGTTAGCTAAATCCATTAAATCCGAATGAGCAGAGCCGCAATCTACCTTGAGTGAAAGCGTGTCAATCCGCCATTCGAAATTCGTATGGCGTCATTCGTAGCGATCAACTCTGCCAACATATGCGCAACCAACTCTACCATATCCTCTACAGCACAGAGCTCATAACGATCTGGTAATACTTTTGGTGGCGGCGTAGCAGGTTTTGCACGTTTGCTCGTCTGTGGTGAAGAGTTCGTAGCAGCAACGGCATCTGGGTTGGTCGGAGTGGGAGAGCTTCGACGTTTAGTTGGTGACACCCCGCTTAGTGCTTGGCCTTGCTGCACAGTCTGATCCTGAGAAGGGCGTGAGGGGGCAGGTGATTGTGCAGGATGCGCAGAAGCTTTTTGAGAAATTGACGACGGCGGTCGTTGGACTTCGGGTGAGCCATGTATACCAGAGTCATTCGCGACATACTGTCTCGGACGCTGTATTGGAGAAGACTTCATAGCGTCGGCGGACGATGGAGTGTCGGAGCGGGTAGAAGGCCGTCGCCGGAGAGCTGGCGAAGGCTTTGAGGAGTGCTGAGGGGACGACGTCGCATATCGAAAAGCGGTAGGCGAGGCATTGGCGGAGGCGGACAAGGCTGGAGACGTCTTCAGCATGATTTGCGGCGCATCGTCGAGCTGTCGGTTCGTCGGGACGGTTGAAGGATCGAGGGGTTTTGGTGCAGTTGAATTAGTAGTGTGCGATTGGCTTAGTTTGGGTTGCGTTGCGTTTTTGGTAGGGCTGAAAGGATGCGATGTTGAATGTCGGTAAAGCAAGACAAGGGTCTTTCAAGATTGAAAAATGGCAACGAAGGAGTTGAAGTTGGAGTTTGAACTTAATACGGTAGATAAGTCAGGTATGGGGTTAGTGGAATCGCGAATTAGATCATGGCGTTTGATCGATTCCATCCATGTGGGCGCGACACTGGCGCAATCTGCAGTGTCAGGAACTGCGCTATGGACAAGAACGCTCACCGAAGGATACCAAGCTAGAGAGTTAGCAGAGATCCCAAAGTGGCCTGGGCTGTTCAAGGTGGTATGGATGGTATGGTATGGCACGGTAACTAGAGGGTGGTATGGTATTTGAGAGAGTGGCTGCTGTTTGTCAGATACGGTACGACACGCGCACAAAGAGTTTGGGATGACGAAGGTGGGCTAGCAAGCCTAGCATTGGTAGGTGAAAGTGAGGTGAGTGGGTAATAAATCAACCGGACAAGTCCGGGGCCGGGGGGTACAGGTCAAGATATGGGTAGCGGATGTTACAGCACGTAGGCTTTTCTAAGCAACTGTACAACTTTGCTCTGGATGGAGACCGGACCGCGCTCTCACTCTCAGGTCGGCTGCCCTGCAGAATCTCTCTCCAGTGGAGGCCTGGTTGTTAGTCACTGGCTCAACGGCCTGGCTGGCTCATCTGCTCACTGGACGAGGCCTTGGCAGACCTTGGCAGAATGACTCGGGTCGGATGGCAAACTGAACAGCAAATCTTTCAATTAGGTCCAGGCCCGAGATGGGTGAATCTTTTCTCAAAGCTTGGTGATTCCCCGTCTCCAGGGGTCTCAAGCAAGAGAAGAGGCCTGGACCAACGCCAGCCACTAATTGGGTGATTGGTTAGATAGAATTTGCATGTATCTCTTGACCACGGTGAATCCTTAGTGGTGTGTGTGTTTGAGCAAACCGGATCCAGCCAAAGGCAAGTATCATGACTGTAGGCAGGGTGCTCTTGTGATTGATCATTGACCTCTTCTCAAAGCAATATCAAGTTCCGGGACTGTGCACTCAGCCATGGCATGGCATGATCAGCACAATAGCAACACACGGCACATAATGAGGATATACCGCTAAAGCCTTAGACCACTAGTTAGACACCTTAAAGGTCCCTGCTTAGACAAAGGAGGTTTACGTTACCCCAGATGCACCTCATTCCCCGGAAAGAGTCTTGTACAGCCTGGTCCTGTATTTCGACGCTCGTGAGCCACTCAAACCACAACGTGGACTGAACGACAAGCCGTCAGAGGTTGGAGCATATCACCATAACCCAGATCATTGCTCAAATGCCGCGAGCGGATCATTCCAAAATTGGAGCTCGGTGAAGGATAGATTGAGTGTGCGGAGACGTTGCGATATCGTTGCTATGAAACAGTCGGTCTAAGATGTTAACGCGGCTAGCTGAGATGAAAGAGGAAGGTTTTATAGTGTCGTCTCCGAGGCGCCTCCGTTGTAGGTTTGATACCTGTCATGAGAGTGACAGAAATTGATTGAGTCATTACGAACACGGTCGACTATCAAGATACTTCTTTTATGATGAGACAATATGGAAGATAAACCTATATTCGCGCATGGCATCTCGTAAATGTCATTTCGTTTCTTATTCAATTCGACTCAATGCCGGATTGAATTTATTAGTATGTGAAACTATGATCCAGGCGATCATATGTCCTCATAGTGCATCGCCAGTATTGATGCCTTTCGAATCCACCAAGGAAAAGCCTTGCTACAGTTCTCGATAACGATAGCTCCATGGCTATCTATTATTCATTCTGCGGTTCAAACAGTGGTTGTGAAACCAGCGGCTATCATGCCAAAGTGGTAGATTGATGTGGTACAAATGGATGAGAACATCGCCCTTTATACTCTGTAGTCACAAAAAGATCGCACTTGAGCTAAAAATATTTTACTTCTTTGAGACTCTTATTTAATTAACGGTCACAATGCACTTCACTGCATAAACATCAATATGGTAAAGGTAATTGACTGCTCAAGCCCCCCCAAAGCTAAGTCTTGATCAGGTCAAATTGTCCCACGTTTCTCAAGCAGTAAAATAGACAGAAACCGAGCTCCACGTTTCTTAAAAATGCAATCCAGTTACACAAATCCTTACAAACTCGGCTGAAACCTATGAGTTTAGAGGAAAAACCAAATCAGACAAGCTAGAAGAGGACTCATGATAGCTTCAACATCATGTCTTATACCAGGCTCAACACCAAGTGGCTCACGACCAGCTCTGTGGCTGCTCAAGCCACAGTGCTATTCGATCAATTTCTTTATCACTGCGATAAGATAGAAGCACGTGCCATCTTTCGGAGTCCGCCTTGCTTGACGTGATCTACGACGCCATGTTTCCCCGGACTGGCTTTGATAGCAACTCGCATGTTCCTTAACGGTTGACGATTTGAATTTCAGCAACCTCGAAACTCAATTTCCTCACTTATCGTATCGTCATCGACCAACCTTAATCACTCGTCCCCCGATTCTTCTCTTCTCAAACAAGTCCCAGGAGTTATCATCGCATGTTGTTTCATTGGATGTGAAGGCGTCAACATCACTCAGTGTCCTCGATTTCTAGGTTCCCCCCATTGAATAGCAGCCACAGCTACGTAATTCCGTCCAGCTACATATAAAATCCCTTTTCGACGCCGTTCTTTTGCGACTCCGAATTCCTCAACCGATCTCGTTTTAATACAAAAACCCGTCATCATGGCTCGAGCGCAAAGCCACCCGATTCTGGCTCAGTTGCGAAACGCTAGAACATTGCCCGAGCAAACTGACGCCTTACGAGCTCTCAAGAATGAAATTATCGGCCATGTACAAAGAAAAGAGCAATGGATTGGCTTGGGTGTTCTTGATCCAATTGTCAGAACATTGGCCTCGGCCAGGTCACCAGCGAAGCCAAACGGGAAGGACTCTCGATATCCTTTACTACAGAGGCCGTTATCGGAAGATGAGAATGTGAGGTTACAGGCGCTTCAACTGGTGGCGAGCTTTGCGAACGGTATGCTCTCAACAAACTGCTCGACATCGCCTGGTTATAGTTACTGATGGACATGATTAGGAGGACCTACTTTCCTTGCGCCCCTCCATGCGGCACGCGCAATTCCCTCCCTCATGGCCAACGTATCGCCGTTCACCAACGCACCGCAACTCGTCGTCGCGGCCCTCAAGGCATTGACCGACATAGCTGATGCTTCTACCCTGGCGGCGCCATCTTCGCCCATCGATGTCGAATCTCTAGCGGATACCGTGTTCTCTGCCCAATATCTCGATTCGTTTGGGGCAATGCTTTCTATCACTTCTACGAATATCCTCCTACAATCCCAGGTTTCGCTCGCAGCAGGCTTGATATCTCGACTTTGCCGTGAAGAGCGCCATCAACAAGCTTTGGCAACATCCGGAGTATTAGATGCGTTAGCGACCCGTTTAGCAAGCGTTGCGGTTCTTCGTGGAGAGGTTGTTCCAGGGGCTGACGCTTCGGCAAAGAACGATGGGCTCTTTGAAGCTTTCCCCGAGCCGGCACCCCAAACATTAAGATTGGATTCGATACTTGAGGCTATCGGTGCTATTCTGGGAGATTCAAAATATCGGGCAAATAGACTGGCAAACTCTCCTTCTATTCTTGCTGTCTTCCCACCGATCAAATTTGAGCCTGCAGGAAACCCAGACGTCGAGCAAACAGGCCCTAACAGCACGCGTCAGCATCCAGTGACTGCGATGGAGTATATGCTTCCGATCAACTTACCCCGAAACCAATCTACATCCCCCTACGGCTCCGTACCACCAGGTGGCTCTTCAGATTCGCAATCATCTAGCCGATCTTCTCTGAGCAAGTTCAGCTCGTCTGCTATATGGGATTCGCCTCGATTTCAAACCACGGGCTCGAGTCCTGAAGATACTGAGGAGATTGAGAGCCCCTTTATTCCCTGGCTGGTCCGGCTCGTGAGGCGCTCAGGTGAATATGAGCGCCTCCTTGCCTCTGCTATTCTTGCTGCACTTATCAAAGGTGGAGTAGCAAGCAAAGGGTTGAGAGAAGCGAGCCTGGGACTTCTCGTGGTACCCCTTCTCATCCGCATGATAGCTAAAAACGACAAAGACGTCTCGGATGTGAATGAGGTCGACAATACGGTCAAACGCACTATTTTAGAGCGCGCACCAGTGGTTTTAGCACGCATGATTACAGACAGCGAGTACCTCCAGAAGGCAGCCTACGAATGTGAGGCCGTGCCTGTGTTGAGTCGGCTTCTCAAGCACGCCTACACTCCTGTAAAGGAAGGTACGCGGCCGCATTACTGGTCGCCTCATGCAGATGTCGATATGGAGGTTGAGAACAACTCCCCAGTGGCTCAACTTGGTCAGGAGGGTCAGAATGAGCTCCTGGTTCACCGACTCAAAGTGCGTGAAAGCACATTGAAGGCCATCGCAGCTCTCGCAGGGGGTAAAGAAGACTACAGAAAGGCATTTGTGGCTGAAGATGTGGTTTCCTACGTTGTCGAGTCCCTTTCAGAGTATCCTAGAAGACCGCAGAGTGCAAAGGAGCGAGGCTCAGAAAAGCCAAGCGCTGAGACTACTAGAAAGGGAGAAACGGCAGGATATGGTGCCAACCCTGCTTCCGTGATCGTTGCCGGATGCCATGTTGTTCGAATGCTTTCGAGATCAGTCAGCATTCTACGAACATCCTTGGTTGACCACGGAGTTGCTCTGCCCATCTTCCGCTTCATGAAACATCCGGACGTCAATGTTCAAATCGCTGCTACTGCGGCTATCTGCAACCTGGTCCTGGAGGTCAGCCCAGTGAGAGAGGTATGTTTGAGAAACCATTTTAGTGCGAGTACGGAAACTAATTGTCACAGCTTCTTGCCGAGAATGGCGTTGTGACTGTTCTTTGCGAGCACGCCCACTCACAGAACCCGGCTCTTCGCTTGAATGGATTGTGGGCACTCAAACACTTTGTAGATGCCGTTGGACCCGACCTGAAGAAAGCATGCCTTGCAGAGCTTGGATCTCACTGGCTACAGCAGTTGGTTTGCGATGATACGGAAGACATGGCCTTGCAGCTGGCAAAGGAACGGGAAGCGTCGGGACTGGATATGGACGACGATGTGGATATGCAACCATCAGACGAGCCCCATCGGTGGATTTACGGATCAAACGGAATGCTTCGAGAACTCAACGCCGCCGACTCTTCAAGGCTGAGACAAGTTGAAGACAAGCTCGCAGCGGTGCGAGAATCCGAATTAAACCCGGTCCGGAGAGCACGGAATGACGATGTAGCGATCCAGGAACAAGGGTTGGACATGATTCGGAACCTGATTGGAAGGCCTCGAAGTGGTCTGTCACCAGAGACAACGAATGAGACAACGGAGATGATCGACTTTTTGCTGCATGAATTCGGAAGCGAACGGCTATTCGAGATACTATCATCCAAACTGCGACCCAAGGTGCATCGACCTTTCTCCCGTCGAGTAACGAGTGGCCGAGAGCCCAGGATGTTCCACCCACAGAGCAAGATCATTGTGGCCGTTATATACATCCTAACGCATATCGCGGCGAGCATCTCACGACATCAGCAGATGATCATCGCGCAAACAGATCTTTTGAAACTTCTGGCGCAGCAGGCCAGCAGCAAAGATCGAGAAGTCCGGGTAGCGCTATGTCACTTCATCATCAACCTCACTTATAAGGATGACGATGGTGAGGCTCAAGCTTGTGCTATCAGGGCGCACGAGTTACGAAAGCTTGGATTCTACTCCAAAATGGAGGCTCTTACAAAGCAAGATGGAGATTTGGATGTGCGGGAGCGAGCAAAAACAGCAGCGTATCAGATAGAGCAGGCGGGATATTGAGGTGTGTCTTAGGGCAAGGTAATGGCGGAGAAAACATGGTGGTGTCGGAAGGCGTTGATTGGAATGGTGTGTTATAGACCACAGAGGCCATTGATGTAACCTATATTATGATTCTTCTTGACTTAGCGTGGTTGAATAATGATATTTGATGGGGGGGATTGCGGTAAGCTTGCAGTCGCAGTCACAATTTCCGTCGCATAGAGTCACGTTTCCTCGGGTGATATCATGGAATTAGCGGCAGACGCTGTATCTGCCGGGGCTAAGAAGCCAAGAGGAGCAAGGGTGTATTGCTCGTGACTGATTTGCTACAAGGGTGTCTGAATGGCCTGAATCAAGTTCATGACGGAGGGTTGCCATGCAATGAAACGTGGAATGACACGGTGAAGGGAGAATGACGGTGGTTCATGAAGAGTATCAGTACATTATCACCACAAGAGCAACATCATCATTGAAAAGGAGCGATCTCGATACCCAAGAGCCTAGATATGCGAATACGTAGTAGATGTTGGGCGCGTGATGTGTTGCAAGAATAAGGTAGATGTTGAAATAACCTTGTGTGGACATGCAGTCACTTTGACGTCAATTAATCAACCCTGTCTGTGTAAATGCTCCGGCCTCAAGCGTGACCTCTCCTTCTTGTGAGTCTTCTTTTGGGTTCTGCAGGGTCGAGGCCACGGCATGGAAAGGGATCGACTGTAGGGTTTAGTATATGGAAACACATGACAACTCGGAAGCGACGGGATTAAACGACTTGACATGATAGTGGCATGACATGATGTTTTTCTGGTGTTTGTTACTGTTACCTCGTTGTTGGTGACGATGATTCACTGAGAATGATACTGAGATTCTAACTGGCAAAAGTAAATCTCTCCATCAGATTCATGATTCAATATTGAATTAATCGCCAAGTTAAACTCATCGAGAGGTGAAAAGCTTGGCTGACAGTTCGAGGGTGTCATATTGAGCATCGCCAAGGATGTTTACATACCCCAGCAGAGCCTCGTCCATCCATGCACATGTAAGTACCCGATACGCAACGAGACTCTTTCACGTCATTCCCCAAGAGGAAAAAAGAAGAAGTGCAACGCTCTGAGGGTTGCTTTGCTTCTTCCCACTGGCCAATGGGATTGAACGGGTGATGCAAACTTGACCAGGCGGAATTAATGATTCCTCAGATTGGGTGAAATGTGGTGAGGCATCGATGATGTTCACTGGGTGATTAGATCTTGGGTGTCTTCTATATAAGAGTGTGTCTCCTCTCGCTTTGGGATTTCGCTTTTCGTTCTTCACTGGAGATATAAAAGCACACAAGTTACCGATCAATTGTACAAGAGTTTGCCAAAAGTTATAAGGCTTCATTGTTGGTTGTACTCAATATGCCTGCTGTCATCTTTGCTCGAAACGATGCTCTCGACGTCAATCCCCAATCGGGTGACGCTCGTCTCTCTGATGCTGGTTCAGACTGGCTCTGGGCTGTGACAGCTATCTACATCGTCAGCTTCGTATGTCTCTCCTATTCTTACATCACCACGTGGCACTAACATACATCAGCTCGCCTACTTTGCTCTCAGCTTCAAGCCTCGCAACAATGAGAGAATCTTCCACTACCTCTTCACAATTGCCCTCTTCGTCGGGGCAATCGCTTACTTCTCCATCGCCTCTGGAATTGCCTACTCTGTTATTCCCACACAGCGTAACCTCGGCCGTGCTCTTTCATATCAGATCTACTTTGCCAAGTATATCAACTGGGTTGTTGCGTTCCCTATTATTATTCTGGCTTTGGGACTCATGAGTGGTGTGAGCTGGGCTACTATCCTGTTTAACATCTTCCTCGCCTGGATCTGGTAAGTCATTTCTCACTGTCATGAACGCATTGATAGTTTGATACTAACAACAGCAGGATCATCTCATACCTTTGCTCCGCATACACCACAACCTCGTACAAATGGGGATTCTTCGGTTTCGGCACATTCGCCTATCTCATGCTTGCCTTCCAGACTCTCCATCCCGGCCGAACATCCGCTGCTCGTCTGGGCCTATCTCGGGACTATCTCATGCTCGCAGGCTGGGTGAACCTCCTCTGGATGCTGTACCCCATCGCCTATGGTATCTCTGACGGCGGTAACGTGGTTGGTGTCACTGGAAGCTTCATCTTCTTTGGTATCCTCGACGTCCTTTTGATTCCTGGACTCGCTTTTGCCTTCATGTTCTTGTCCAAGCGTTGGGACTACGGTGCGCTCAACCTGCACTTTACGCAGTATGGTCGTGTCAATGCTGGCAATGGTGTCTTCCCTGAGAAGCGAGCCCCTGTTGCTCCTGCGGCTGAACAACCTGTTCCTGCCACTGCTACGGCTGCTGTCTAAGACGTGTAAGCCATGTCTGAACTGACTGAGAACACCAGCATCTGCTTGTCGGACGCGATGATGAGTGCGTTTATGAATAACGTGACTATGAGGACACTCGTTTAGAATATGGTTATGGGAGGAAATAATGGTGAAGACTTTGTGGGGATATCATTCGCGTCGGATTGTTTTTGAGATACCCTCGTTGAACGGGAGTTGGATACCCTTTGGTTGTTGATGTTGTTGGCATAACTTAATAACTAATCACCATTAATATCGTCATTCTCTCATACTCGTACTGACAACTGGAAGTCATCATCTGAAGAGATTATTTATAGAGTTTCTATTACAGAAATAGACAACCAAACAAAGACACTCATTACCATCACAATTCAAGCTATCATATTCACTATAGAAGGCGTTCCATGTACTAGTTCTCATCAGTAGCGACATTCATCGATCGTGATCCTTCGATTTGGGAACTACCCTAAACCAACCAAATCAACACGACAAGGTGAGCACATGTCTCACTCCGGAACTTCCAATGCAGCCAAAGCATATTCCCCTTTACACCTTCAATAAAACCAAGTCTAGTCTATCCCTGCCAAGCGGGATCAACGTCACTTCTATCCCCACGACAAGTCACTTCGCTCTTTCGCGCTCTCGCGGTTGCCAAGCAACTATTTCTTCAACCACTGCTATACGGTATACAGCACATCAATCAACCGGCACTAACCTGGACAGCAACTACAATAGACGCCATTTATTTACTGCACCTCTATTAGCTTTAAAGCTTCATGCCTAGCGTTTTCGTTACATCGTTCTTATGTTGTGGCTTGCGCAAGGGACGAGATAGTCACGCAGCTCTGAGACATACATACGCCCCGGGAAAAAGGAAACTGGTATGCCAGCTCCACGTGGGCAGGGAGTACTAAGTCTAACTGCCAGGGATTTGCCAGGGATTGAAGATGGAGGCTGTGACTACTGTGAGATTCTGGAGAGACGGGTGAGCCCGGAGGCTTTGAACTTGGAATTAGACGTCATTGCTTTGAATTAGAAGAGGTTGGCATCTACTGCGCAAGAAGCTGCTAAAGAACACTAAAGGCTTTCACAGAAGGAAAGCAAACCCGTTGATTGCCATGGAAGTGACAGTTACCATGTATACCTCAGTATCACCTGTCAAGCTAGAAGTCTCCCAGCAACTCGACGGATACTCACTCAATGTGCCATCTCTCATCGGCCCATTCTTTCGTACCACGGTGCAACATGCCATGCCTGTCAAACTACGAGTCCCCCATAGCCTGCCGACGTGGAACAGCGAGACTAAACATGACTCTGCAGAGCGTTAGAGTTGACGTGATAGTTTGCGGGTTGGTGCATGTTTGCTGATCTACACGACCTTGTCTAACAACTGAAGGCTTCTTCAACATATCAATGCTAGATGCAGCGGATAGCACTCCGGATATGTGAGCATTGGATTGTGTATTCGTGTGAGGAGATGCACTGTGGCTGTTTCAGCCGAGTTGTTGACTTTGTTAGACTGGCTTGGCTATAATAAGCAAAACCAGTATCTCATCCTCAACACTTGTCGAGACATCGATGTAACTGAAAGGCTTGTAGACAGAACCACTCACTCAACAAGAATACCGAAAAAGAAAAGGCGCCACTGGCTCAATTGACTTCGTGGCATGTGCAGGGCAGTCAATCAAACCGGAGGATATGTCCGGTGTACTGCAAGCGGCGTCCAATATCATCGAAGCCAAAACTTCTCACATAGAAGACCGGCCTGTGAGCTGGTAATGCCAACGGCCGCAGATGCCCAACAGCGGGGAAACGCTGCCTCCCCCTCTGGCTCCCTTACGCAAGAAACTCGACAAGAGACATCGGCCCAAGACAGGTTTACCGTGATACGAGAAGCTGGTGTTCCCAAGAAGAGGGGTAAATCAGAGTCCAGGCTGTGAGACAGAAACTGGATTGTGGCTTGCCATGGGCTACCATAGACGAGAGCGAGCAAAAAAGCAAAGGTCATGTTTGGAATCTGCAAGTTGGTGATTGAGCCTTGGCTTTGGCCTTAAGTGACAAAGAAGATAGAAGGGAAAGTATCCGATCGAGAGGTAAGCCCGCGTCGTGTCGTGCCGCGCCATGCTGAGACGACGACCAACAAGATCGGCAGTGCAGGGAGAGAAGGGATAGCCTACTGAAGCTTAGTATGTAGCTAAGCCTCGACATCTGGAGCCGAGCCTTGTGCGGGTATCGTCAACGGTGTGAGTTGTGATATGATCAGTCCCGACTGAAGGGAGGATTTGAGTTGAAACGGCTTGTCTCAGGAGCATATTTTCCCCAGAGCCTATTTTTTCAAGATACAGGCCTTTTGACTGGGAGATGGGGGAAATGGTCTGATGTCTCAAAGTTAATATTATTGGAATGCCCTGCGGGAATGGTCTGGAGGCTTGCGTCCGCTTGGCGGATAAACGCGTGGAAATTCAGTAGAGATTTGCAACTCAAAAAGCAAAGACAATGACGTCCCGGGCTTCCAGCCTGATGCGGTGTTCCGTTCATTCTGTGATCAAGGTATTTGAGAGGGCTGGGGTAGATGACTGTGTTGGTGGCGTACGACAGATCAAGACAAACAATTTCAGTGGATGAGACTTGGGGGTCCTGGGAGGAGCTGAGCGTTGCGGGCGTTGTAGACATGGTGGTAAGTGTAAGTACACAGTAAGAAAGGCCGTAATTCATCATTATTTGCTGAGAATAAACACTTTCATATGAAAGTGTAAGTGATGTGTGGTGTTGTTGGTGATGATGGACATTTAATCACAATCAACCTTGCAAGGCTGTATTCGTCCCGTCCGGCCCGTTCCCCGCTGACAAGGTAAATCGAGAAGAGATCCCCCTTCTGCAAGACGTTAGCTGTTACCTAGTTTTGGTTAATGCAGGGAGGGAATCGAGAGCGTGGCAATTTAACGGCACAGAGGGACATGATCTGATCTGGTTTGTCTGGACCTGGCATGTCCAATACCGGATGAAACCTCTCCCGAGAGATATAATCCCAGAAACGAAACCAACACTGAACATGAAAAATCCTGGAACCAACAGAACCTTTTTACGCACGGTGAATTTCTGGAGGAGACCGGAATGCAGGAAAATGGTACCCGCAGCGCCGTGGCCAGGGAGTTGGGTTTCTTTGTTCTGATAGACTTCGTGATGGAGCGAATGCCGTGATCCAGTTGGTCAGCGCATTGTGGCTACCTGCGAATGTCTGATGTTTTTGAAAGCTAGGCAGTTTCGAATAAAGTACCGAGATGAGTTGACATGACTTGTGAGATGTCAAGGATGGTAGGCAACATGACTCTGCCGGAGCCCATGTCCGGGCAATGCGACCCTCGAGGTTGTATTAAACGATCAAGTATCCATAACTGAACATGGATGGATTGCGTGAACCGAGGAATAATCGACTGAAACAACCAGTCCTAGTTGGCGGTTAACAACGTGTATTTGGAGTACGTATTCCATTGCCGCTGACAGTTGATGCTCGGCACAAGAGAAAGTGGTGTGGTGCACAGCATTTGAAGGGCTACAACTGGCAGCCAATCTTGAAACAAGGATGCACGAGGTCGTATTCCAGAGATGCTGGACCAAGCATTTGGATTGTCGAGTTGGGCATACACATCGTACAGTTGGCCACTGACAGTCAAAGACAGAGGATGCGTGGCTGGAGATTAGTCGTGGGTATCCCTGGCATAACCCACGTTAGTGTGTTGCTGTTGCATCAGTTGCATCAGCGTATGTGCATATGTGCATATGCATTGCACAAACAAACATTTTCAACGCAAGTTGCCTGCCTTTGCGGAAGAGTTATATCTGAAACCAGCCAGAGATATAGAGCTGATGGCTGGCGGTCTCTACTCTGGACCAGTGTTTAATGGATATTGTTCTGGCGGTGTTAGTGCTCGACACAGTATGTCAGGGAGATGAGCAGCACGGTACGGGACGGCAAGATTCAAGTGAGGAAAGAGGAGACAAGCCGTAACCCTCGAGACGCAAATGGTCTAGCGTCGTGAGATCCATGAGGGTTCCCGCGCACCGGGTCCTGCATCCCGCATGTATAGCCTGGCGCTAAAGCAAGAGAGCGGAGAAGGTTGAGGCGCTATGCCTAGAAAAGCAAAGGTTGATCAAGGTTGGTGGATGTGTTTTTCCTCGAGATGACGTGAGGAGATGGAGAATAAAGATGAACAACCCCGAATTTAGAGGTTGACAACAACGGCAGTGACATGTCAAATAAGCGAGATGATATTTAAAGAGCAATGATAGGAATCGGAATCACAGAGGATACTCTGCTGGGAAGGTGTTAAAAGGTCTCGAAGACGAAGAGCAAATGTTGAACTATTGCGCCCGCCGCATCGTATAATGAGACATGGCACACGTTGAAATTGATATGTATGTACTTATCACATCTCGGTTCCCGTCTGTCCGAAGCAAGCTTCCTTTGCATAAAGGAAAGGGTAGCACGGTAACATACAGCATCGGGATCAAGATATGCATACACTCTTGACAATGATTTGCAACATGGTTTTATGCCGTGGAATTTCTTCTTTCTTTTCCTGTCATTCATCTTGCTCCTCGTCAAATATCGTATCCTTTCAGAAATCGTCCGCTTGTTGGGCTGGGATCTGGCTCCTTTAGCGTGGGATGGTGGGCGTGGGATAACCAGTCACATCTATCCTTGGCGATGCCACTGCGTGCTTCTGCTTCGCTTGCACCGTCGAATGCAAATGCAACTGCAACTGCAACTGTGATAGGCCGAGGCTGCAAAACCAATCCCAGACGAATGTGCTGTTGTCGCCCGGAGCACTTCACCTTTACGGGTACGTATTCCCGTTGCCGAACCCGGGCTGCAACGCTACAGTTGCACTTTTGCTCTGCCAAATCTGAAGTACCAGAAGCAGGCAAAGCAAGTGAAAAAGAGATTTGCAGTAGAACAAAAATGCTCCGACCCGAAATCTCACATCACATCACATCACATCATGCCCCTTTCCAAGCCGCAAGTAAATTGTAACTGTAACCGTCGTTGTCGTATCTGTGCCTGCCAGGGAATTCAAGGCTGGCACTGTACAGACGCCACTGATGAGATTGATCGTCTCAGCTGAGTCTACCCAGAATAAGGTCCCCGGGAGCCCGTACCTAAAGTCTACAAAGCCACGAGCCTTGGGCGCCCTTGAACTCTAACGAATCTGTAAACACAGGAGATCACCAGTGACAGGTTGAGAATTCCAGAAGAAAACAGTCAAATTGTGAATGTTGAAGTTAATTTTTGACTGGATCTCGGAACCTGGGTCTTCCATCCAAGCCTCCCGTCTTGTCTTTTCCCCTCCAAGGTTGCATTCAACCAACAACAGCTTCTTATTGGGCCGATCCCAAGTCCCGTCTCCTTGGCCATGGACGAACACCCCCCCAACAATGGGACCCCGAGACCAAAGATCCCAGGCGATCAGCCGGTTCCTCTTGGCCAGTCTCAGTGGCCTACAGGGCGTTTTGAGAGCGTCCGTGGGCGGTTCGAGTCAGCTGTAGCCACCTGAGCCAGGCTCCTGGGCCGGGGAATTAAGCCACCATCCTCACTATTCAAACTCATTCATTATTATCCCTGTTCTTGTCTGTGCCCACGGAGGTTCAAGGGACCCTTCCATCAGACATCACACACACACCTCGAATGGATCTCCCATCATCATCATCTTCTCGCTCTGTCGCGTTCTGTCAAGTGCCCGAATGCTTAGTCTAACCTTAACTATCACCCTGCCCTATTCAGAAACAACTCCGCCATTTTCTGGTCCTGTCTGCCTCTAGTGATTAATCTAGTTTTACTTTCATCAGCGACGACGTATTTACCCGCGGAGCCGCGGGCTTTTAGCATAACAAGATCACGCACTGTACTCGCTTGCATCCAATCAACCAATCCATCCATTCTCTTGTCCAAATCTGCATGCACTGACTGCACTGGACCGACGGGAATAGTGCTTGTACAGCATCTACGTACCTTACCTCGCCTGCTTGCTGCTGTTCTGGCCTGTTCAGCTTGTCTCTTTAGCTCCACTCAGCCAACTTTGGACGTTCTCTGCTGGCTGGGGCTGGGCCTTGCTTCCATTGCATCCTTCCAGTTTAAAGTCCCCTGCTCAGGCTTATTCGTTAGGGTCTTTTAGCGACATACGCTATCCCTACGCCAAGGTACTTGTCTACGGTCCTGGGTCTGCCTCTTCAACGGCCTCTGCCCCCGGCCTCTCGCTTCCTCGCTTCCCCTTCTTCTTCTTGTTCACTCCCCTACTCGTTCATACACTTGTACCTACCTTACCTTACTCCTCCTCCTCCCTCTGGTCTCATTCTCGTATGTCGCGTTGAGGTTTCGCTCTCTTTCTCTTCAACTCGACAACCTCTACCGTCTTCAATCACGGTCGTCGCCCTCCGTCCGTGAATGAATTGACAAACTACAATACACTCACACGCAATTTCCATACTGAACTCTACTCTGCCCGACCCGAATATTTTTAATTAACGGGCGTATCACATTGAGGGTGAGTCCCCTGCCAGAAGCCAACCAACCATTCATTACCTCCAACGTGCAAAACCCTCTCTCAACCGTTTGAACAATTAACTTGTTTTATACCAATCGAGTGGTTCTGTTCGCTTGCATGACCGCTCGGCCCGTGTGATTAAACTAAACTGTCAACCGTTGATTTGGGTCTCAAACTGACAACGTCTGATTGATAGGCTTGACTTGACTTTACTTCAATTCTCAATCGTTCTCTTCGTCAGCGCGTTCTCACGCGCCTCACTAATATTCAATATGGCTACACCATCCTCGATTCCTGCCGAGCCAAAGCGCGATGTTATCAACAGGATCCACAGAGTTACAAGAGAGAACCGCAGCCTCTGGTATCAGATGACTGTTCTGCAGCAACCTGAGCGTGCCCGAGCCTGCGGTTCTGGTTCAAAAGGTAAGCTGACTGGCATGGGAATAGGGGTCTTGACTGCACATTGGCGTCTTGTCTCTCATTCTTACTACGTACTTTCCGTGCTGACCATTTATAGCCAACAGTGACCGCCGACCTGTTGATCCTCCCCCGGTTGTCGAGCTTCGGATTATCGAGGGACCTAGTGTGGAAGAGGGCAAGGACATCACTTTTGACTACAACGCCAACTTCTTTCTCTACGCCAGTCTCGAGCATGCCCGTCCACTTGCACGCGGTCGTGTTAATACTCCAGCTGCTGGCAACCCACCCATTCTGACTGGTGTTCCCGCTTCTGGCATGGCCTATCTCGACCGTCCCACCGAAGCTGGTTATTTCATCTTTCCCGACCTTTCTGTCCGCCACGAGGGCCTCTACATACTGACCTTCAGTTTGTTTGAGACTACCAAGGAGGAAAGAGACTATGATCTGGAACCTGCCGATGGCGATCTTCCACCCGGAGTCGACTATAGAATGGAAATCAAGACTGAACCTTTCAGCGTCTACAGCGCTAAGAAGTTTCCTGGATTGATGGAGAGTACTCAACTCAGCAAGACTGTTGCCGACCAGGGCTGCCGAGTTCGAATTCGACGAGATGTTCGTATGAGGAAGCGGGAAAGCAAGCCCGGTGCTGGTAACAGCAACAGTGGTGGAAACGGTTTCGAACGTCGGGAAGAGGACTTTGGTCGCAGAAGGACTATCACTCCAGCATCAGAAGACCCCCATAGTATCCGAAACCGATCTCACAGTAACTCGAGCGAACATCGAACTCCTTACACCGACGCTTCTCGCCGACCTTCGATGGTGGATTCTTATCCGCCCCCACCACCACCACCTCCCTCCTATGAGCCTGCTCCTTCTGCATCGCGTCACCTCGACTTCGGAGACTCCTCTGCTGCTCAGTATCCAACACCACGACAATATGCGCACCAACCTGGCCTGCAAATAACGCCCGGTCCGCCCAATGGTTCTTATGCTCCTACAGCTCAGTCTCCATACTCCAAGACGGATGTGCCTTACGGTTACGTCAACCGTAACATTCCTCCTTCATGCCCTTCACCAGCTCCATCCCTTAAGCACGAATTGTATGACCGTAGACAATCTAGCAGCACCTACGTTCCCCCTTCCCCTTCGGTCTACTCTACCGAAGGCCACCATCGCCGAGACTCGCGGCCGTCGTACCCGCCCACGCCTGTTGCTGCACCTCGCCCTCGACCTATGCACAGCCAGACCTCCCTCCCGGCTCTCAAGATAGACCAGCTCGTCTCTCCCGTTTCGCCGCTACCTCCTATTGAGCCACAGACCGGTCCTGCTCCTGAACTACCTCCTATCAATGTTGGTGGCAAGCGCAAGCACGAGAGCGTCTTCGCCCAGAGCACCCGTCCACTTCACAATGGTCAGCGACAAGTGGATCCTCACTACGGTCGATCTCACCGTGGTTATAGCCCCGATCATGACCAAGGCTGGTACTCTCGAGCCGATGGTCAAATCAGCTCCGTCCAGTTCAACCGGTATTATGACGAGTAGATACCTACATCTTAAAGACCACACTGGAAAAGTATCGATTCTGGCGTTCTAGTGTTTTGTATTTCTATCTATTGGGCGATTTTGGAATGACGGAAGACGCATGAAACCGCAATGTTGAGGAGTTTGGGCGCAATTATGTGGGATTTAAAGTCTTGGGAATGGCAGACTTATCGGACCCGGATTACTTCATCCAGCAAAGATTTCCTTATGCAGAATCATTCACATTTGGATACGAATGATTTTGTCTTCTACGATCACGAACGATCACCTACTACGACAGCTATTTTTCTTTATTCTTATTTACATTGATCTACCTTTACTACTTTGACCACTGGTGCTACTGAGGCTTTTACTTCCGTTCATCTCTTTTACTTTCTCGTTATTCTATTTCACTTGACAATCTGCGACGTTTGTCTAGGACAGTGTGACTTGACTTGGAGCAACAAGGCTGGGATACCGGGGTAAACTCGAAACAAAAACTTCATGGATGGGGTTGGTAGCACATCATGATAGATTTTATCCATGCAAGTTCTTAGTGGGGAAGCAAGATATTGTCTGAGATTTTGGGAAAGGTTTCGGTATTCAACAGGAGTTATCACAAACAAACATATCATTCACTGATTCATGCCGTGTTTGGTCCAGTGTCATGTGTAAAGCATAAGTTACCAATCTGTCGGTACGGAAGATGAGAAGTGAATTCTTGACCAGATATCCATGTCTAGCTTGTATAGTCGGATCGACATAACTTGTGCATGCTCCACAGACTTGTTCTTTTAGAATTTGAATTCACGTTGGATAATCGAGGCCACACTGATGGAATGGATAGGCAGTTTGGCAGGAATAAGATATGAATATAGTTGTTCTAGCTCAACGGTGGAAATATGCCAAGTCATAATATATGTTCCAAGATCACGTTCCCAAAGCTGAAATCGACGATTCGAGTCACTCGACCCCTTGTTCATCCAAAACAAAGGAAATTAAATCTCCGTTTCGGTAATTCACCTGGAGCTGCATTTCCACTTTTGGCTTCCCGACGATTGAAAGTACCCTTGTACCTCCTTCCATTCCAGGTCAGTGCTCTCGCTACTGCTGCAGGTACGTTGCATCCCCGCTCCTTCTTGCTCGTTGCCGTGGTGAAATCACGTGTGCTCCAATGTCAACAAATCCTCCGCTTTCTATCCAAGCTACCTTACTTACCAGACCAGACCAGACCAACTCTACGTCTTACAGATGCGTCTTGTTTGTTCAGCCACCTTTTTACTCGTCTTCTGAACTCGTCATGTTGTGCTGAGTTTAGACCTTCAACGTTTTTTCTACCCGTCCCTATCGTTGAGAAAAAAACCGACGTAATCGTGCTTAAGACTGTATCACAACTTGTACGCCATACGTATACAAAACCTTCCCAATGGGTCGGCCGAAAAGTCGACGCGCACTCAGTGCGAGTCGATTCCAGGAAGGCTCTATGAATGATAGGACTTCTGCTGCGCCGCCAGTGCACTTTCTGGGTCCTGAAGAGCGCGCTGCTCTCGAGCGACCTGCTCTGACGAATATCAAATCCAACAATTCGCGACCGATGAGCGATGACTTCTCCGACAAGCAGGTCAAGCGAGGAAGACTTCTGGGTCAAGTTTGGGATGAGGTGAGAGGGAGATTGGGATTTAAGAGGGATAATGAAGAAGAGAGAGGGGCGAGGAAGAGGTCGAGGAGCCGTAAGCGTGATCAGTCTGAACAACGAGGCAGACAAAGGGAGAGGGAGAATGGTTCTAGAGATGGGCCTGTGGAGCTGAAGACTGTTGAAGAGACTCCCAGGGAGGATATGCCGAGCCGAGAAGAGATATTGGCCAACTATCACAATTTGATGGCTTCAGGTTTCTTCTCGTCTCATGCTATTCAGTCTACTCGACAACCACCTCCCGGTTCTGTTCAGACCTCACACCACCTATCTGCCCCCCCTCATCCGACATCTCTTAGAGACGCCTTATCTCGAGCTACCACGCCTCAAGATGGTATTCCTCGGGCCCCAAACTATAATGCACCTTCACCACCCAAGTCACCTACCAAGATCAAGCATCTGCAAAAGCACCACTTACGTCCCGATGGTCCAGGAGCCGCTACTTATGAAGAGCTCGTTGCATCGGGGTTCTTCACACCTCCAATCTCTGACAGTGCTCCACCACCAACTCCCATTGGAGCTGCCCCAGCCCCAACTGTTTATACCGGTCGTATGTCGCGAGACTATCTTCAGCCGCCTCGACAGACCAGGGGATCTCGAGCAGCAACGCCCTCGGCTTCTCGTGCACCTTCTCCTATTCGATCACCTGCCAGTGCCTCCTCCCGAGGAACAAAGCGCGCAGCAGCTGACTCAAACTCTGAGGATGAAGGAGAGAGTGCATCTCGTGACCCTCCAACCCCAAAGAAGAAGCTACGTAAGTCTGCTTCTCGAGATATCACCCTACCGAAACTGCGAAATGTCGCTTCTCGCCGCAACATGCTCTCATCACGACGTAGTGTGTCGGGGCCTCATGGAGCTAGCAAGGAGTATAACACACTCGCTCGCCGTGTCCTGGGCCGTCTTCCTGGAGGCGGTGGTCGAGGCTCCCTGGACATCGATCGCCGACCTGCTTCTGCTTCTAGAAGGAGCATCGAAGACTCTAGACAGCCACTGCAAGAGGTCCAATACACGCGAATCCTACGTTCGCGAAAGAGTGCTGCGGAAGGACTCAGTGTCGTACCAAATGCTAACAGGGGCATCCCAAAGGTTCCTAATATCCCTGAAAAGTTTGCCGCCTACGATGAAGATGCTGAGAACACGGCTCCAGCAATTCGCTCTCGTTATTAGTCTGATGATGGCGCCTCTGACTTTTCACTATATTGTTAACATACAACAGCACGCGAGACACTTATCGACAGCGGATAATGGCAGTGGTGAGATGGAAGCATGAGCTCAGAAGCTCTGTAGCGGCGGATCGAACGACTCTTGACGCGGCCACGACCTTGTTTTTGTTTCTGGGACTTTTACGAATGAATTACTCTTTGTATATTCACGTGGGAGATATCCATGATGACATGCGACATGACAAACTTTTCTGATGTCTCCTCATCCGTTGGATATGGAGGCTTCCTGCACTTGGGATATCGGATGGGAAGGGGTTATAGGTTTTGATCTTGGGGGAAAATGGGAACAGTGGTGGATTACGGTCCTTGGCTGATAAGTAGCCTGTGCGCTTGGGACCAAGGCCGACGGAAGGGTAACGGCGTTGGGGGTATATGTGTATTAATTAACGATTCTCATGACACGATGCTGTGTGTGTGACGTATCGAAGTAGGTCAAGTGAAGATGAAATACACAGGCAATATTGCAAGAGTGCTCTACCTGGATGAAGATTTGTATGTTTATTGGGATCAGAAAGGCGTCCATGGCCGGCGAGGTAGAATCGCACACAATGAAATCTGACGCAGACGATTAAGGGATAGCAGTCAATTAAGCCAGTTCGTTTCTACCTTTTCGGTTATACCTATATACATATACAGTCTCCTTACATTCCACCAAAATCTTCAACCACTTCATTCACCAGAGGTCCATAACCAGAAAACATCAACACCTCATTATTCCCTAATCACCCATCTGCCTAGGAGACTTCCCATAGTTGTGTGTTAAAACAGTTGATGAAACCCCGATTTCAAAGACCACCTCTATTGCCCGTCCAAGTTCATCCCAGGGAAAACTGCCAAAGAAAAGGCTCTCTGTTCATGTCGACCCGCTGTGCGCTTCGTATTTCTGATGGAAATCCTCCAGATCCATCTCACGTTGATCGCTTGGGACATTGTAGCAGCCCTGGAAGATATAATAGTTCTTTGTACGCTGGGACCAAAAATGCCTGAACGAATGACAATAGTATAAAGGAGAAACAGGTTGCATCGGTCATAAGTGGTAAAACAAATAATAAACGCCCAGCCCAATCCGTAGGAGAAATAAATACGCTTTGGGATTGTGAACAAGTGATGAGGAACACCATCATAAATCATCAAACTTCAACACCTTCGAGAACCCGCTCTGGTAGATTTTGTTGAAGTAGTTGCTGTGTCTTGGTGAGCCCGTTCTGATATAGTGAGCGAACAAAAGCCCAGGCAAAGGTGAAGAGCCAAGGGAAGTAGCTGTATAGCATGCCGCAAATCATTACAAGGAGGAGGGGGATCTGTACCTTGGTTAGTTCTGGGATGCATGCAAGATAGACTTCGAGGTGACTTACCCAGATGAAGAACAGATTGTGGTCACTGCTAATCCTCTTCATCTTGACTTCATGTGCTCGGCGGAATTGCTCTTGCTGCTCCTTGGTGATGGCGTTCTTTCGGCCAATCTTGAGGACTCCTGGCTCTTCAGTCTTGATTTCAGCCACTTCGGTGACTTCAGTAATTTCAGCCGACTCGGTCTCAGTAGATGTGGTCTGGTCGAACAAGGCCGCGCATTTTTGATCAGCCTCAGCCTCCACAGCAGCTCGGGCAGCTGACTCATGCTTTTGGTCGAGACTTTCCTGGGGGAAGATCTCCTCGTAAGCCGGAGGTGCTGGCGCGGCTGCCTTGGAAGACGAATCCCACCAGCGCTGAGGCTGCTCGCCATCAGCACGAGGACCTGCCATACCTGGCATCAGTTGCTGGACTCGTCGCATGAAGGGTGCTTGGTAGCCAGGCATGTTAGGCAATGCAGGCATTTGAGGCATCTGAGGGAAATGTGGGAAATTCTGGAACTGCATAGCAATCGACTGTTGGAACTGCTGGAATTGGTGGACCTGTTGCTGGAACTGCTCCTTGAGAGCAGCCATTGTTGTAGCAGGTGGTGCAAGTTCCTCCTCCATTTCGCTAGTCTGCTGGCGGCGAAGATTGGGTCGCTCACGATCTTGCCTGAAGCCACTAGGTCTTCTCATGCTCAAGTAGGAATCCTCATCGGGATCCTCATCCTCGAAATCTCCCGATGTGTACTCTGGACTCTCCTCGCTAGAATCAGGTGAGATTGGCTCTTCGTGACTGTGAATCTTAGTCATAGGCTCCCAGAGCGATCGGAGCGAAGTGGCACTGCTGGCTCGGCTGTGAAGAGAACCGGAGCCACCGCTGCTGCGGGATCGGGCATGTCGCTGAGAACGGCGGATAGCGTGGATTACAGCACGCGACTGAGCAATATCGGAAGCGGCAAGTCCAGATACGCTCCTGATGGTGGGGTCGGCACCGTTCAGCATGAGCCTTCTAACGATCTCAGGGTGGTTGTGGATCGATGCGATATGAAGAGGTGTGAAGCCACCCCTATCTCTAGCATCCGGGTTTGCACCTCTGGCCAGCAAGGCTGCAACCAAGCGATGGTAGCCTAGCGAACAAGAGAGGTGAAGCATAGTATGACCGGTGGGTCTCTTGAGATCCAGGCGGGTTCTGTGCATGCTGTCATCGAGGTCAATGAGGTCCAGGCACTTCAGAAGCTGAGACTCGAGATGAGCATAAGGGGCATGGCTGAACATGGCTCCCCCTGATGAGGAACCACCCTGGGCACCGTCAGAACCACCAGACCAGTGGCTTCCATTTCCGTTATCCAAAATTCTTCTGGCGACGTCCATGGCATCAATCATTTGGCCCGACATCTTATGCCCCAGTACAGACAGAGCAGCTCGAATCAGCTTGTCCTCGCCATCGTCCAAGTAATTGAAAGTAGGCGGCTGTTTTGCTGTGTTTAAGAAAGCTTGGCCGGCCTGAGGGTTCTGGTTCTTGAAAGTGACTGGCACAGGTCCAGGGCCAGGAGCGGGTGGCAGTAGACAGACAACTGATGATTCGCCCCAGAACGTAGTAGTCGTGGCTTTGTGGTTGCCAAACCAGATTTCAAGCCCCTGGAAAAAGGCAGCACCCAGAACTGTCACTTCAATACCTCCCACTGTAGGACCCTCGTTGGGAATGATCTTGTGAATGACTGGAGGTGCTCGCAGTGGCGTCATGCCTGTAGGCACACTGAAGGTGCTTGCGAGTGCCTGGGCAAATTGGTTCTGGGGGTTGCCAACGATACTGTTTCGAAGGCCATTGGGGCTGGGAGCACGGCTCGGGTGTCCTGAAGCAGGTGCTGAGTAAAGCTGCGCCATGGCCATGTTATCCATACTCGCGGAGCGGTGATTGGCGTAGAACCCTGGTAGCTCGTTGCTGGGTGTAGGAGGACCTGTGGTAAAGGCCATTGCTTGCTGTCCAAACATCGGATCGGCTTGAGAGAAGGCAGCGAGGTTAGGTGTAAAAGGGGATGTAGCATTAGATAGCTGATTGACATCCGCCCCAGGTGAGGGTGACGTATCCAAGCGGGTCATGGTAAGTCCATTAGGAACTCTCGAAGCGCTTGACTTTCTCTTCTTTGCCATCGGGCCACCAAGAGTTGGCGAAGCTGGGCGCGAGAGTGTCCTACCAAGATTACCAGTTGACGATGCTTTAGATTGGTATGAGGCCTGGCTGCTTCTATGCATATTCGATAAATCGCCGTTAGACGGCGACATGCGGAAGGATCCATTGGTGGTAGGTGGTAGAAGAACGTTGTTCTCAATACTTGCTTGGGGTAGGGATGGCATAGGGGGTTCTGGAATAGCTGGCTGCTGTGCCGCAACCTGAGCAATTGGGTGAGTCTTGTGGTCGTCAGTGATCATAATTGGGTTTGACATGGCCTGGGCGACGACTCTGTCTTGGAAATCTTTAATGGTGAAGATAACATTGAATCCCATCTTTTCGCCATGGTGTCGACAATAGCAAGCAATGCGCATCGCAGCATCAACCTGCATGGTACCCTCGGGAACAGTTGACTCCATGACGCCGCTGGGAGGTTGCCAGTCCTTGACTTCTTGCGTGTTGAAGACAATGACACGGCGCTCTTCGTCTTCCAGCCAGACCTTCTCTTCCTCTGGCTTCTTGATCTTTTTCCGAGCCGCGCGCTTTCGCTCTCTCGTTATGCAACCTTGGCAAATACGTACATCGCCGCCTTTTGGTTGAGAACTGTTGTTATCTGGCAGAGGCGGAAGATAGCCCTGGGGGTGTGATGCCGCCCGCTTGAGCGCGGCTTCTTTGACACCAGGCTCATCCATTGCACTCGTGCAAACTAATGAGACATGCAGCTCGAGCATATCTGGAGACTTCTCAGGCGTTGGCTTCGACAACAGCTTAGGCTTTGAAATGGTGTGGGGTGGCAGATGCAGTTTGGTGACCCCAGGCGGCAATGGCCACAGGGTCATTTTGATAGGGATCTGGGTCTCGACCCTCGACTTGAGAGGCGTAGGCATGATTTTTAATTGGCATCGTCCATTGAAGTTGAATTGTGTGGGCATTGGCATTTGCTGCGGCATAGGCATAGGCTGGTTCATCTGACCGCTAAAATGCATAGGCAAGCTGTCGGGTACTGGTTGCGCTGCCACGTCGATTTTGTTTGGCCACACATGCTGTGCTCCCACTCCTCCATTCACAACTCTAGAGAAATCTATTTGAGTATTGGGCGAGGGAGAATTGAAGAGAGGCGCTGGAGAACTGCCATGGCTCAGCACCATGTTGGACATTGGCGAAACTTCTCGTGATGCTGATGTTTTTAATCCATTCATTGCTGAAGATACCGAGTATTGCTTCAAGTTCGTTAACAAAGGGCTCGTCTGGTTGAAAAAATTGTGCGATGAACATACTGAAGAGGCTTTCTGGTGACCCTGTGCTTTCTTCCTCTTAGGTGTTGCATCTTTGATAGGGGCTTTCGAGCTGACTGTGGGCATCTGAGATGTGAGAGCCGGTTGTTCTGTATTTAAGCCTTCTGGGCTACTAGAAGCGGTGTCCATATCGTAGGGGTGCTCGAGGATGGATTCTCCAGGTTCGCCAAAAGGGTACATTTCCATTGACGCATCGTCGTGATTTTGACCAAAAACAAAGTGATCGTCGTCGTTAAAAAAGCTGTTTCCCCATTCCACCTTCATTTCGTCTTCCTCCAACATCGCTTCAGCGGGGTGCATGGCGGCCTTGGAGGTTGGGGTTGCAGTGCGTTTAGAGGAGGCCGTTTCAGATGATGAGTCTTGATAGGAACCGTTCGGAGAATCAGGAAGAGGTGCCCCTGTTAATTCTTGGGGTGTGAGAAACGTTTTCGCGTCGTTTCCGCCGAGCGACTCGAATGACTGGAGGGTATCTGGGCTATTAGAAAAGTCGAAGAGGTTTGAAGCGCCAAGCTCTTCATCGGAAAAATCGTTGAAATCGCCGCCCGACATAGCAGCTCCTGCGATCAGAGGGCTACCTGGGCCGGTAGGAGCGGGCGTCATGACCAGCGAAGAGAGGCTGGAACGACCCGTAGGCGTCGGTGGACAACGGGAAAAGTGGTGATCGGTAGGTTCAATTGAAATTGGCGTCGCAGAATACTGTTGGCGTCGCGCGGGGGAGTCGGCAAAAAGCGTTCAAGGCATCAACACACGTAAATTCGATTGCGGGCTCGAGTAAAAATGTCGATGCTGGTCGTAGACGAAAATGCGATGTTGTTCTGTTTAGGAACAGAATGTGTTGCTGACGAGTTCGGGCGTCGAATCGATAATCAGAGAAATCGGCAATTCGTGATTGTTGGGGCAGGATCGTAATATGGATGGATGGGCGAGCCCCTAGCGGTTTGGGTTTGGGTTGGTTTGGTTTGGTTTTGGATGGTACGGAGTAGACGCACGCGAACACAGCGGGCACAGTCGGCAGGCGCCAGCAGGTCAAGCAGGTCAGTCAATGGAAAAACGAGACGGGACGAGCGAGACGGTCAGGGTCCTGTGCTGTCAGATACCCCTGGTCCAGGTGCGTGTTCGCAGCTAAAAGGTGTGTACTGCGTTATGTGTGCGTGTGGCGAGTGAAGAAGAAAAAGATTACAATTTTCGTATAGTGAGGGGAATAAGGAAGGGATGATGATGACAAGAGAGGATGAGAGAGAAATAGAATAGGTAGGTAAGTAGCGAGGCAAAGAGTTGGATGGGATTGATTGATTGATTGACTTGATTGATGCGCTGAGTCTCCAGATGGTCTGTCTGGCCTGTCTGGTCTGGGCTAGCAGTAGAGGCTGTTACTAGCTGGTGTACGTAGTGGAGATAAATGAACAGAGACAGAATAAGCGACAGTGCAGGCATTTGCTGGCTGAGATGACTTTGAACTGTGCTAATGTAGTAGCTTCGTGGGTAATGGATTGCTCTTGTTCCGTACCTTAGCTGGGCCTCTCGGGGTCGGTCGTTTACCCAGCGAGTCCCTCTTCCACACTTTGGTCAGATTGTGTGTGAAAACGTGGAGACTGGAACTGACCTTGCAGGCAAATGGTGATAGAGGAGTGGTGGTAGGTAGTGGTGTGGGCTCACTCACTTGGCGAGTCTGCAAGTTCATTGTCAGTGGCGGGGGCAGGTATCTGATCCGAGATGTACCTACAGGGCCGAGTGGGTCCCGTTGTCGGCGCAAGACAGTGCGGTTGAGGAGATATTCACACGAGTATCTCACCGACTGTTTATGCGGTCCGTACAGTGTCAGCGCCGGTCTCGCACTTATCGGGGCTACATGCCCGGTCTTCCGCTGGATCTCCCTGGCAATTGGAGACTGAAACAATCGCACAGTACGATACCAAGCTGCTCTGTAGATCCAAGCTTGACAAGCAGATCTCCGGTGGCAGAAGACACCGACACTGATTGACAGGAAGACACCGTAAACAATGGCGATATGAAATTGGGTATCCAGAACGAGGTACGGGGTTGATACACACTCAAGAACACTCCCAAAATTAACTTATTAACGGGAAGCGGGGAATGATGATGGACGACGCTATCATCCTTGTATCGAGCAATTCATCAAAAACCCCAAAAACCATCTGAGGCCTCTCGCGTATTACGCAAGCTGTGACTCTTGAAACGACAGATGAACAGATACTCGAAGGCTATAGAATGGACAGCCTGTCTTCATCTCAACTATTCCACGGACTCGGACAAGGCGATCGTCCCGTCGGATGAGAATGGTTGTTGATTACAATTAGAGGGTGCCATGCCTTAGCCTTAGCAGGATGATGACCCAATGATACAAGTGCTAAGCAAGCTTCCAGTAAGAAATAGTTGGTACCTGATGACCTAGGCCTGTTAGTGGACGCGCTGACATGTCTTTCCCCTCCCCTAAACTATCATTCATTCATTGACTCACGGGGCTTTATCATGGGGTATCCAGGTGTCCATGCGCCTGATACCTTCACCTCGTGCTCATACATCTTGATCTTGATTAAGCAGACCCAGTGTTGTCTCTTTCCACAACGCCGGCCTTACGTAGACACAACCAACACAAGAAACTGTCTCGTTATAAGTGGAGTTCGAGACATTGATGGAGGTGGGCGAGAGACATCCTCCACTGGAAGAAAGGACCCTGTAGATCCAATGGATGGATCAAGCCCAGCCCAGCCCAGCCCAGCCCAGTTCTCAGACTCCCCCTTCCCATTCCCCTGGAGTCCCACGTCCAAGCATAAGCGAATCACCACCATTCAAGCCTCAATTGCAAGTTTTCCATGAGGCTTGCCCTCCCGCGCAGTACGTACATGCTGATTCTACAGTGCAAGGTACCTAAGCTTGCTTAGATTATTGCCCTCCCAGTGGATGCTGCGGCCTCCGCGGGCAAACCTCCCAGCTTTCCCCAGGCTTTTGCGTAACAGTCCCAAAGGGGAAATACAAATATGTAAGTTGTTATCTTGATGAACTCAACAAACTGCAACTTCCTGGTCGGTTCATACATGACATACATACTTGGCCCAGCTTGGCCTGGCCCGCCTTATCCGTATGACGACGATTGACGAGGGGGGAACAGGTTTAATCATAAACATAACTTGCAATGGCCTATTAATTTCCCAGAATCTATCAGAAGTGTTTCAGTGTTAAAAAGAAAAGAAAACTGTCGGGCCGGGTGTTATTGTGCTTGTCAGTTCTCCATTTGGCCATCGTATAAAAGCCCGTGCAGTTTGAGTTACGCCAAGTGTAAGTGAGGTGTGCTTAGGGTTATCAAAACCAGTATCACGTCAACGGCAACATCCATTCTGTCTTAGATATGCCAACGGCACCTAAACGACCCTACCAGATAAAGCTGAGCAGAAACATAGTGGAATGAGGAACATCCCTTTGCAGAATTGTGACTACTACTGCATCTATTCCCGGAGAATCGTGCCAGTGGCTTGAACTTGGGGTTTCGGGGAAAAACGTAGCTCTGCAGGTTGCATAGTGGTGGGGGATTAAACTCTGATGATGGTGTTTTCAGTATTGATTGGATGCTTGTTCATCACATAGTCTATTCTAATCGGAACGACAATGAGATATTTTTTTCTCAGTTCTCGCCTTACGATATACGGCAGATCAACTAACGCAGGCGATCGAATAAGATCAAACATATAAGTTTCCTTGCTTGGTAGTCTAATTCTCCAGCTTGCTAAATCCAACTAGAAGCGGCCCGAGTACTTAGATCGGCCCGGTGAGTTAGGCAAACATAATCATCGAGTCCCGGTCTGCGTATACCGAGACAGGTGAGGCATAACTGGTAGAGAACTAAGGTAGTAGTTACAGCAACAGTGACAGACTAGAACTGGGGATATGGCACCATAGTTGCCTGCTATCATAAAACTAAACCTACCGGCTGCAACTTATAATTAGTGTGATGTCAGGATGACTATTCAGAAACGCCTCGTTTGCTGCAGAGTTGATTCAATTGAGTAAAGAAAGAGATTAGGAGGGATAATTGAGGTGTTTTCTCTCCCACTCCAACTACTCGGAGTGTAGCCGGAGGTGGATCGTCTATCAGCACATATCAAAGATGGCAAAGTCGCTCACATCATACCCAAGGAACCGCAAAGCCACATCAAAACTTTCCGATGTCGCATCCTCGCGGCCGAACGTTGTTGTAGAATGTAACCAAAAGCCCATATTTGGCTTTGATATGGTTGGTGGTTGTACCGCATTATCTCTCAGTGTGCCTCAAAAGGTTGGCGAGGCGTGGTTGAATGTTGACCCAATTGGTATAGTTGCAGCCGCAATCTTGCATCTATAACAAAAAGTTACGGAAACATCCCGGACGATAGTGGTTAAAAAGGACGTGTGGTAGTTTTCTTTAGTAACCACTTCGAGGGGAAATTGCCTCTGGAATGGCCCGGAATACGTGATCGAGGTGCGTTATCTGAGCGTCAACGGTTGCATGCTGTGCAACAACAACTCATACCGGAAACCCCTGTTTCATACAGCATTTGCCGCGTGTCCCTAAATGGACTAGACATTAACAAGAGACAGAAGGGTTTGTGGCTTTGGCTTGAACATAGACATCTCGGTGGCCTACACAGCGTAGCATTGGTCAAGAGTGAATTGTATGCTGTGCGCCACCAGATAACGGTTCCTCTTGGTGATACGAGGGGTCAGTACATAAGAGACACTTGTTGAGATACTAGCGTTTATCAGACATTCTGCATATAACGATTCAAGGCAAGGGCGCCTAATTGCGTCAAGTCAACGCCCGCACGTTGCGGGATGGCAGGATAGGAATTAACTGGTAGAAATCCTCAGGCTGTTTAGACTCAGCTTGATTGGTTCTAGTACGTCTTTCGAGACAGCTCTTAATGATTGTCTATGCATGTTTCTGATACTCCCAGTTGAAAGGACTAGTCAAGCCAGCTTTGCATCATTGAGAAGCCAATGAGGTTATACGCAAGGGATACAGCAACCAACGCGGTATAAGTGGCGGTCTAGGAGATACAGAACAAGAAGAAATAAAAAGCAAGTCCAAGACAATGATGAACTGTCAAGTTCAAGATTAGATTCTAGACGCGGGAATAGAGTTTTTTTTATCCCCCTTTATTGGCATGTCTTAGATAAAAGGCTTCGACTTACACGATCGTCTATCATAAGTCCTCGGAGTCACTAGCAGCATCGATCAGCGATTCAACCTCCTCATCACACTCTGCTCTCACCACCAAACTCCCTGAGCCGTTTCATACACCCACGTCTTTCGTTCCCCTAAAGTTTACCTGTTCTTGGGAAACTCTGCGACCCACTTCTCAATCTGATCAATGCCAGCCTCCTGGATGGCTTTGACCTCTGGCCAAATAGTACCAGCATTGCGAAACGTATCAGTACAGTGATTGCCCAAGGGGTTCAAAAAGTGTCTGATGTGGGTGCTGTTGCCGAGCACGCCTCCAGGTCTTTGTGAAGAAGCAAATCCCGCTGCCCGCCAAGGATCATACAGACCATCAACCAAGACAGTCCTCTTCACGTACGGAGAAGGGTCGCTCCAGCCTCCATAGTGAGCGTTCCATGATTCTGTCGTCTTTCCCTTGGCCAGGCCGTAGGTCTCTCCACTAGGGCCGGGAGGGAAATAACGCGCACATGTCTTCCTGAAGTACTCCCTGTTCACCAAGCATGAGACCAGTGTCGGTGTACCCTCTGGTGAACCCGTCTGCCAGTATTCTTCAGGCTCGTTACAGAGGAGCCATTGGAATTGCAGCGTCTCTGCAATGCCTGAACTGGCCAACGTCTTATTGGCGTAAACCAAGCTGTCAGCGTCACCAAAGTTGAAGCAGCCCGTGTTGGTCACCCCCTTCCAGGGACCTCGTTCCTCACATTTTCCAGGGATCCAGACCTCTTTGGTCCAGCGGGCATATCCTGCCAGCGCCTTGTCTAGACCAACACCTCCTGAGCCTGGAAGCTTAGACTTGTCTATAAAGCCAACGGCATTCTCGACGTAGTCGCAGAACTCCCACGTATCGTGTATGCGTAAAGAAGCGCCCTGATAAGACTGCGGTCCATAGTTGAGGAGGTTCATAAAATCATCGTTGTGTTTGAGGTCAGGAGCCCCGAAGTCTTCCTTAATTTGCTGGATTTCATCTGCTGAGCCTATCGAGTGTATTAGTACCATGGTGCTTTTCGAAAGTCCGGCGTTATCTTACCGTGAAGCATGACATTGTCCAGATGCTCAATGACCTTCTCGACATCTGCTGTACAGTTCTTGGGCAAATATGCTTTGGCAGCGTCAAAATACCTCCAGTAGTCAGAAATCGCTTGTGGTGGTGCACTTGACGCCCAACTTGCCCAGAATGTACCTGGATACTGTTTCTGCGTGAACAAGACTCGATTTCCCTGCCCCGAGCATCCTGTATGAACCCAGGGCACCTTGGCCGGCCTGGCGCTCCCATTTTTCGCAAATGGTAGTTTGACATTTTCAGCGAAGTATATCTTATCGCGCATAATCTGATCCTCAGTGTAGTACTTCATATTTTCAGTCGTGAGTTGCTGATATGGCGACGATTGACCAAAATATCGACCCTCAAGCAGCAGCATCACAGCTCCAATGCGTCGTGCAATCATGCCACCAATGACATAGTCATCGTGCAACCAGAACTTCACTTGTTCAGCCTCAGCATCTGGGGGGGATATGAACACGACAGGGGGGTTGGTGCCATTCGCATAATTAAGGCTATACCAGTACCGCTGCTTGAAGGTTCCAAGGGAAGAGTTGTCGTGATCGATCAGTTGGTCGAATGTACCCCCAATAACGCCCGTCGTGTCGTCATCCCGTGTGACTAGACGAGATTTCGGTGAAGTTTCAAAGTGCGTTACTTGTCGCGGACTGAATGCGTAGGCTTGCTGAAGCAAGACGACGGCGGTTACGACTCTGCTGAAAAGACGCATCTTGAGTTGTTGTCTCGCAGAACGTGTCCGCCGAGACGAGAGCAGCAGGTAACGGCATTATATTCTCTTTTGAGCTGTACACATTATATGTAGACCAGGGGATCTCAAGACTGGAGAACCGACATCCGGGCAGCCCCGTGCCATTTGATTGCTGTCGTGTCATGTAAACTCAGTGTGTCGTATTGTATAAACGCTGTAGAGGAGAACAGGGCAACGAGTCTCTTTAGTATGAAAGCATATATCCTGGCTATTCCGCAAAGAGTAACCCCAGGAACTTTTACGACGATAGCCCTGTCCCTGTTGCTGAGAAAGCTGAGAAAGTGGTATTCAACCCCCGTCGAACGGGATCTAATCGTCCTATCGTGATCAAAGTTGGACAATCGCTTAACTCGCTGTTGAATATCAACTCGAAATCACCAGACAGCACCAAGTAATACCAGGTTGGCTATTGGTGGATTAATTTAAATATATAAATAGAGCCGAAGAGAGGAGTCGAATAGGTTTGAACTTCACCGTTCCCAGAAAACATGTGAGGAGACAAGCTTGCCGTGAACGCAAGCGTATGACGCGACTAGAACCATGGTTGGGGAACGTCGAAAAGGAAGTTTATGGGGATATATACCCTCACAGGCAAATATTCTCGGCATAAATCGTATCATGTCATCGACTCGCAGCCTTACCTACCTGACAACTAGTTACCAGAAGTGAGGGATGCCCGAGAGCGCCGCAATTCGTCTCACCATTGGTTTAAGTATCTATAGAGACCTGCGCTGCTTAATCCAGCTTCTCTTAAGATTGTGTCCAAAAGTGACCCATTGATTTTGTCCTGTAATAGCCGCATCAACAGTTCCTCTATTATATGAGGGACATCGCACAGCAGAGTTAAGGGGAGACTGTTAGTTGAGAGTATACGAAAAAAAAAAATACTTATCATGAGACTAGAGCAGCTCATAGAGACAAATAGAGAGCTCGAACGACATCATCGTGAATCTCATCACCAAGACAAGAGTTCAAGGACCCTCTATCGTGAGCAGGGGTATGAATATGATTAAGTTTGAATCATTCGTGGCCCGATATGAGCTATATCAGGCAGGTATCATTACAAAAGGAAACAAACCAAAAGGACACCATAGTAATAAAGAGAGCCGAGCAGACTCCAAATGTCCCCCCCAGGCCACAAGGGTTAATAGACCTCTGCCTTCAAGCTCAGGCGTTTTGACAACCTCGGGCAAAATAGACCCGGCAAATAGCTCCAGAAACATTGGAGCAAAGTCCTCTCCCAGATAGACGAGCTACATTCTCGTAGCAGACTGAATTTCTTGGGAAGATCCCGGTCAAGCAACTGGAGACTTTCTGGCCCCTTCATTCGCCAGGTCATCTGCTCGGTGGTTGCCGTAATCACTGGCGTGTCCTTTCACCCATTGGAAAGAGGTTTTTGACCTGGCTGCATCCCGTTCTTTTATCCTCGCTAACACGCCGCGTACAAGGTCCTGGTTCTTGACTTCGCCCCCTGCCGCATTCTTCCATCCATTCTTCTCCCAACCGAGGCCCCATTGTGTCACACACTTGATGGAGTACTGACTGTCAGACACAATCTGAACGTCCTGTGTTGAAGGCGCAATCTCAAGTGCCCGAAGTATCGCCATCAGTTCAGCACGCTGGTTAGTCTGAGGCTCACCAGGAAGACGCTCCGCAAGATTACGCTTGTCATTGGGACCAAAATAAACTCCAAGACCAGCACGAGAGCCAGCCTGGCCGTTGGCAAGACTGCTGCCGTCGGTCCAAATCTTGAGTAAATTTCCACTTTCTTCACGACTAGGCTCGGCGCGAGGTGCTGCTTTTGGGGCTGGGGTAGGCTCAGCCTTGAGCTTTTTGGTAGATGCTTCTACAGGTTCAAAAGCAGCCCCAGTGTACTCTTGCGGTTTCTCAAGTGATATACCCAGACGTCGGCAAGTCTCGGGGCTGGCGTTATCTCTAATGAAGTTCTCCGCCTCTTCTTGCGTCTTGAACCTCTTGTGCTTGGGTCCAGTGACGTCTGTGACTTGTGGCTGGGTCTCATCCCAGGTAGCATAGATACCTGGAACATGGCCTACGGCCACGGCATAGAACCTCGGAGGGCCGTCAGCCGCCGATGGGGTCTCATTGCCCGCGATATAGGCCTGGGCATCCTCTCTTGTTAGGAATGACTTGACTAGATAATGGTCAATTAATCTATTTGCAACAGCCTAGGTTTTGAGCTTTTGCGTAGGATTGCTACTCACATTGCGCACCTGGGAACCCGGTCGTTTGTGCCTGGCAAGCTTCATAATTCAGATAGATGCCAGGTTCCCTTCCCGTTTTGACAGCGTAGAACTTTGTACCTTTTGCCGCTTTCCTCATCTTGGACGATGAACCTGCCCCGAACCCACCACTGGGGGCGTTGCGCTTCTTAACCATTTCGGCGTCGTGTTCGTCTAGAGGATCTGCGTAACCGGTGCTGCAACTGTCTCGATCGAATGCCCTGAACGTGGGGGAAGTGAGGATAAAGTTGAAAATCGATAGGTCAACAGATCCTCTGCTCGCGGCAGGTGCAGATGCAGGTCGTCGCGAAGCGCCTATATACCTGCCGTAGTGGTCCGCTGGTTCTTTGACAGAGCTCGTGAAGCTACGGGTGGCCGTATATGCAGCGTTAACTCCAATGCCAGGACTGTCGCGACAAACGACGGCACAAGAGGGAAATCGGCGGCCAACGAGTCATAGAAGATGCATGTTGATGATCAAAGTAGCAACAAACAGACAAAACTGCCCCCTGCTTATCGATAATCTCGAAAGACCCACGGAGCTGGCGAGCTTCTTTGTAAAGGCTATGGGTTGTTTGGTTTAAAAGGTCAAATGTGCAGGGTGCAGCACGGATACAAAGAGGGGCAGGTCCTGAAGCGCGTGGAGCAAGGGTCCATCCACATCGGGCGCTCTTTTAGTAACTGAGGTACATACATCAATGAGTTAATGCAAAGCTGACCAGGAGGCAGACAATATTCCAGACAACAAAAAGTTAATTGATACATATCATGTTGCGTAAATGAACCTAGCATGCTACAATGAGTTCCACGTCCAACTTCTTCCAATGCTTTCTCCTCCATGCCCAAGCTATTGTTACAAGACCAACGCCAATAGTTGTTAATCGACTCCTCACCTGGTATGTAAAGAGCTATCTAAACCCTTTGTGTGTTGTCCAGCCAATGTAACAGCTGTAAGTAAGTCCATAAAACGTGCCCTGCCAGCCAGTGGTAGATAATCGTAATCATGTTGTCGGCCTGGATCATTGTTGTCCATGGGCAGTATCGTGCGGCATGTAATACTCTATCATTGCTTTTTGGGAGCTTTGCTGTCACTTTAGCTTCGCGTGTATAGCAACGGAGCCGATGAGTCTCATATCGACCTCGGAGGTGGTAATCCTAAACATGAGTGATGGGGTCAAGAGGAGGCAAGTTGGGTACGCCATCACGTTCCCATTCCCAGGCCATCAAGCTCCAGTTGAGCTCTCGTCTCCAGAAGAGCCCCAGTCCTCGTCCACCTCCATCCGGACGATCGTCTGAGCTCAATCCTCCGCTGTGAGGCATGTGTGTAGCGAAAACAGCCTTTCCCATTCGAGAGTGAAGAATGCCCATAGAGCAGGACACACAAGGCTCATGGGTAACATAAAGCTCGAGCCCGTGGCAGAGATAACCGTCTTTGTTTGGATGCTCTTGTTCGAAGCATTGCTTCTCTATCTCGAGCAAAGGGCCGTCTTGAAATGCGTCATATTCGAGATTAGGTGCCGTGAAAGGCAGGCCAGCGGCTCGTCTCTCGTGTCGGACAAGTTTCTGGGCGACCATGCTTATAGCACGAACAACACAGTGCGTCATGGGGTTGCTGGTACCCTCCAGCAGGCCGCACTCCTGGTGCCAGCGAGCATCTCCAGCAACGCCGACTAGTTCGACTTTTCCTCCCTCCCTCTGGACAATCACAGCTCCGACAGCTTCGCCGATCCCGGTTTCTTTAGCTTGTAAAGCAACACGATGGGCTAGTGCCATCCACACGGAGGCGTCGTCCTTGATATCTTCAGTTCCCCGGGCTACTATACTAGGGTGCGGACCCAAAGGGTTGTTCTTCCGATATACTGTTGGCCAAAATTGAGAAGACCACATGGCTGCTTGTACTTGAGATGTTGGTGCGAGTAGTGGGATGGGGATCTTCTCGATGAAGAGGTCGGTCTCCGCGCCCTCAACAATGGAAAGAACCTCCGCCAGTTCCTCTCGGGTGAAATCTTTAACTTCCCCAATTATGATGTAAATCCATGTTGATTTAGCTGTATGGATTTGGCGTCCAACTGCACTGTCATTCATGAACTGAGTCTTTAGGTGGGCGGGAAGATCACCGGGCTTGGAGCATCTGCGCAGATGAGGCAGGGGGTTAGCGCTGTTATCATCTGGTCGCATGTTACGCAAGGCCCTATATAGTTTCAGTAGTTAGTATCAAACCCATCATTTTATTTGGCACAGTCAGGGTCTGCAGGATGGCGTACGTGATGACATCGTTGGCTTGTTTGGTAGGTGCCCGCGTGATGTACGCATGAGTGATTGTGTGATCTTGCCGAACCTCCTGGGTTGTTTTGAGGGGGATCAAGACACCACGGCGGGTATGTCCTTCCTTCAAGTCATCAATCAAGGGGTTTGAGAGAATCTCGGATGGGCCGCGATGTTCGGTCTTTGGGGGCGCAGACGCCTCAACAGGCTCAGGAGTTTGGCAGACCTCACTAGAAGGCCCGGCAGCCGAGTTGTCTTGAGTTGCATCCATCTGCAGCCCTGGGTATCGCCTGTGAACTGCGGTCAGCTACCGAACCAAGCAGATTTTGTAAGTTCACGACATACTAAACGTGGTCTTCGTGCCTGTGAAGAACTCGGATGGAAGTAAGCGCGCCGTTTCGGGGTTGCAGCAGTGTTACGGTAGATGATGGCGAAGTTTCCAAGATTAGTCGCGCGTTGAGAAGAGAGAGTTGAGAGTTGAGTTTGAAGGAGATGATGAAGAGACGACGGATGTTGTTATGATGCAAGGTCTCGTGACGAAAGAAGGCGCAAGTTGGGACGAATTTAGGCAAGAGCGCACCACTCTTCACTTCCGACTCTCCTAAGGTATTTCTCGTTCTTTCTCCTATTTGCTTTTATTAGTGACTATCCCCAACTAGCTCAGGTTAATGACAACCATTTGCAGTGGGCACTTACCCTTTACTATGTTCTTCGAAAACAAGTCTCTGGGTATGAAAGATCAAAGATAGAGAAGTGTTTGAAAGCAGAAGAGAAAGGATCTTGCAATCAGATGGAGGCCTAATGAACAAGTCTTGTGCGTGTTTCGCTACCATCCGAGGTGAATGATTCTGCACTTGATTTTGGCAGTGGCAGCGGCTGGCAAGAAACTGTCAAGTAAATGTCTGCAGTAACGCCCAATAACTAGCAGTTTCTTTGACAATATCTACTTCCGTAGTTAGATGGCCAGTTGTTCGTTATTTATTCCAGGCTGTGAATGAATGAGCTTTTCGCTTTCACTTTCCAAATGAATCAACTCTTTCACTGCCTTGGCAGGATCTTCAAAAGGCCTGCTACAAACAGAGTCCTTTTGCGATCGCGAGCAGCTTTGATCGAGCTTTCCACGCCTAAATTCCCTTCGTAAGTACACGAAACATCGACATGGGAGTTGTCGTGTTTTTCTGTATTGTCCACTTGGACTATGCCTTCAGAAAGTCCTGTATCCCCATCAACTCGTTGGCATTGAAGTTGATGATAAGTTCTGTCAACACTGTGGATCAATCGTGGTGGGGACCTACATATGTGGCTAGGGATCTGTAAGCCACTTGTTTCAGCTTACCCTACACACTTCGACTTGCTTCACCACCATTGTGTGAGACAATACAATACACCAGGCAATTCTTGTGATTCAAAGCTTTTCTTTCACAGCTTGCTGACTGGTACCCAAAGTCTTGGCTACGGGTATTGGGCAGTCATTCCGTCCGCGTGAGGCAGGTAACAGCAAGGCAACATGGCTGTCATCCAACTGAACATACCAAGGGTTTAGCATAACAACACAATCATGAGCTTTGACATTCGATTAACTTACAAGTGCAAAACAACCATCACATGAAGTTCATACATAACTATGTCTCTACAATCACTTATTTCAGAGTACCATGCGAGACAAACATGCCATATCAACCCCGCGTCTCCCCACCAGATGTTATGTTAAAGAAGAGCCATCCCGTTGGTTCGGATGTGCCTCCGAATATCACCATAGAGACATGAATGGCCGCTTTCGTGGTGAATGGATTTTAAGGCTGCCTCTTTTGGCAACTTGATCTTGCATCCCCCGTACTTTGAATATGCGGAGAAATCACTCCACGTAAAGCATCTGATGCCGACGCACCGGCGTACCTGTCAACCGATCAAGGCTGCAGCTACAATCATGGCATGTGAAGTACTAAATGGGGCCAGCTACACAAGTGAACATGATAGACGATTGCCTGCATATACTGTAAAGAGGCAGTGTTTGGTGCTCCGTCAATCAAAGTGAGCTATCATGTTGCTTCGGCTGCTTACAATGCCCAACGTACGTACAGCTCACAGCCTGGCTGAACGTCCTCTAAACGTCACACGCTGTGCGCCCCAAGCATACTCTTTCGGGGGCCCAGGATGAGAGCATTTTACCAGAGCCATAATTCGGAGTTTTGGGAACGGTTTTCGGGACTACAGGATAGAACATCCGGCGGCAGTCCAATTCACCTTGGCACTTACACGGGCTCACCTAGAATAACAGCAATACTGGTCCCTAGCCCGTAGCATGCATTGACCGCGCTTGATCGACAGTAACAAATAAAAGAACACTACAGTCTTGCATCGTACTCGTAGTCGCCGAACCAAGACTTGGTTTCAGGAGTCGGAGAATAATAGGATCGTTGGAATTGAGCATAAAGAGCTTACATGTTGTCACGGGGCATTGTACAACAGTGTCCATGCATTACTGACGATAGGTCACTGAGAAGCAAGCCAGCCACAGTTCAGTACATGTACGATGAGACAAAAGGCCAGAAAAGCCGAGCAACAAGAGAAATGGCCTATCGGGACCATCCCCGCGTTACAGTCCTGGCCTGTGCTCTCTAATAATGGCAATCAATAAAGTCGAGGACAAGGAGTCTCATTGCTTGAGGTGTCATGATGCATGGTTCGATAGACATGAATGAAACACGGACAAAATAAGAAAGGCAGTCAACAGAGCCACGGTCGTGTAATATTCGCATGATTGATAAGAGTCATACTGAGACCCGTATCAAGCCATGAAAAGACAGGGACAGCGGCGCAACGGCAAGGCTTTTGATTCATAGTTTATGATATCCAAGGCTTTGCTCGAATGATATTCAGGGCCAGTGCGCCGGGGAGACAAAAAGGTGACTGGGACCCCACGGACGAATTCGTGACGCCTAAGCGCCCACGGGTAAACATGATTCGTAGTGGAATAGGAGTTGAAAGGGGATGGAATGATAGATTGGACGGCATTCATGCGAGATGACTGTCGCATTACTGGTCTCACCTCTATCTCACCAGGCGATGAGACGAAAGGACACGAGCAAGGAGCCAAGGACTGTGCTGTAAAGCAAGGTCAGGGTGAGAGTGACGGTGACGGTGACAGCTCAGCCGCGAATCGAATCTCACATGTCGCATGAGAGAAAACGAGGCGCCTCTTTTGCAATACGACCAAGTCTTACGCATTTGTGAGGGTAATTCTGTATCTCTACCAACTGCAGAAACCACAAGAAGACGAAAGATAACGGTGGGGGTAAGTTGACTGTCCCCCTCATGCAATGCATCTGCAGAAGCGAGTTTAGTTTTTGCTCAT